CCAATTGCTTCGCGTGATCATCGCGGTTAGAGAGCTTTGCCAGGAGAATTTCGCCTCGAGCTGCACAAGAATATTTGGCACATTTTACGATACCTTCGGAATGTGATATCAATATATAATCAGACAAAAGCCGCCATGAAGCATCAGAAAAGGAGTTTTGAGTATCAAATCTCTTCACAGGTCCAACGTTTACAGTTCCGTCGCAGAAATAGCGATTCATTGACTTCTGCCTTAGCGCACAGTCTTCAATTAAATATACGCATTGCACTTCAAGTGTTCTTCAAGGTTTTAACTTCAGAATTTTTTCTTGTATAATCAATCAAATGTATTAAATTTTTTGGAATTTGAAAATTCCTTTAGAGAAAAATAAAATCGGATGCGCAAAGTACAATCTTGCCCCAGAATCGGGGCATTATTGCACTTCACCGGAGCACCTTGGTTGTGCGCCTTTGCAATTTCTTGTTTATATCAAAGAAGCACAAGTAATTGCCCGAATAAAATACTTGGATGCAAAGCTACCCCATGAAAATGCTGCAATCTTAAGATCCCACTTTCGATTTAAAAAATTAGAAGCCGAATTCTTGCGTTTCAACAAGATAATCTCCAAAAACAATGCTGCTCCATTTCCTTTTTTTGTTACTCAATTCCTCTTCATGTCAGCAATATCTTGTTAAACCTCAACTAATAGATTGATTCTAGACTTGGAAATTCGTAAGTTCATCGATGGTTCGCTGCGTGATCTTTTCCCGGTCAATACTGTCGTCCAATTGTGTTCCTCAGCTTCTTTCTCTCGTCTTCTTCGGCCAGTCGAGGCGACTCGCTGGCGCCTCTGCGCAGCGACAATCCACTCGCTTGGACTGCGCCAGCACCAGTGATCAGGAGTGTCTCGAGACACCGTCTTATGTCTCTGGCGTGAACAGAATTGAATAACAGGTAGGCATTCAGAGAGATATCAGACACACCAACACAGCGAGATGCTTAAGAAGCGCGAGTATCCCGCATTCCACGACGATCTGTCGCCTCCTTCTCTCCAGCGTCCACACTCTTTCAGGCTCCCACATTCGGAGCTCTTTTCACGGGGGTGGACGTGAACTCCACTTCCTGGGTGGCCAATTGACATCTCCGCCGAGGACATCATTAACAATCTCACTCCTCTCCCCACTCCTCCCGGGCGATCGCTTTGATCGTGAGTCCTGCAGCGCCCACAAATCTTCCATTTTCCCCCAATTATCGATGAATGCCCATCAAATCTCTGGCTGGGAAATAATGATTGTCGAACGTGATCTTGACACAGAGTTTTCTGGTGTGTGATAAATTTTATTGACTATAGCCGAAAAGCAAGTTTCACGTGGGAACTATAAAATTGCCATTTGTGTGTTGCTCACATGAGGGCATAGAAAGTCCCACCAAACAAGAGTTTTAGCTGCAAAGCGCTCTGGCACCTGTGAGGAATGTTTTTTTTTTCTTCTTTCGTTAATATTCATCTCCTCACCAACATCACGTCTCATCCATTTTTCCCACCTTCTTTTCCCTGTCAACCTCCTTTCTCATGTGTTTCTTCACTCATCCGCACACCTTTTTTAGACGGACCACCTCCAAGAAATCCACTCTTGAGCCCGCTGAAAGAGGTCAGCGACAATTGGACTCGAGAATCAGAGGAAAGCCCACAATTTTGAGGACGCACTCGAGTTGCGCGAATGAGCAATGCAAATACGGCAAAAGAATATATACAAAATTCCTCAACACCCACCATTAATATCATCTTTAATCTGTGCAAACACTTTTTTCGCTACCACACATTTTTTTACGAGCGCGTCTTATCAATTTCTGAGCCTGCACGGGACACAAAAGAACCCCCCAAATTGTCAATAAAAGCTGAATATGGCCAAATCATGGCTCTCCAAATCCATCTGCATATCATTTTAATGACTATTTGGCTGATAAAGCACCACCAGCGACATTTCATTACCAAACACGCGCGCGAAGACTTCCTCCAGTCATTCGTCTCACTCTTGTGTGGGTGTTTGAATTCAACAAGTGTTCCCAAACGATAAACTCATATTTATACGTTCAAATTCCAGCAAGATCGATGACTCAACACGATAAAAGAACAACACTGGTGAGACGTGCATTCATCTGCTCAGGTGGTCTTCTCTTCCCATTGCGCCTCTCCACATAAATTCTCTATTCCCGCACTTGGGATTCATGGTTTGTTGCTGTACATAATGAAGACAAAGAGATGGAAGCATCGCGCCATTCCGTGAGATTTAAGCCTTGATCCAAGCGGACAAGATGAGTTGAATTGATACAATATTTACCAGCATTCATATCAAAATTGATACCATTGATCGCGAAGCAGCAGGAGAAACGGTAATTGAAAGCCACAATATAATCACACAAATTCAATATCGCCACTCTATCAATTTCCCATCGCCTTCGCTGCAATTAAGGGGGAAATATTGCCATCTGAAGCGGTGTGCAGCTGGAAATCTTAGAAAGTGGTAAAGTATTTAGAGTATTAAAGCTCTTCTTTGGACAATCTTTATACGATAAATCTCAGATTAGATATAATTAGTTAGAAGTGAATTCAGGAAATAATCAAATATGATGAAAAATACTTCTTTTGAGGCATTGAGAAGTGTCTGGAAGTGTTGAAGGCTATATTATATTGTCATAATATGATTATATTATCTCCTCCTTGGCAATTAATGCAGCATTTCTTCGCCTCGCCCAGCAAAAACTGTCAATAAACAGTGTTTATTAAACAAAATAAATTCGAATGACCATTTTCACCAACAGCCAAATTAACTGGCGAAGGAGGAACATAGATGAGACGGCGGAGTTTATGACAAAGTGCAAATGTGACATCACTTAATTACATAATTGATGAAAATGCCACCGTTTCACCTCAGCTGCTTGAACTCTCGACATTATTGCTTTCAATTCTCAGACATTGAGAAACAACTTTCCGCCAAGAGATTAATTAACGTGCACCACCTTCGAGTACTCGGCGGATTTGCTTCGCTCTCCCGTATTTTGCACATTAATTCCAAACATCGAGCGCTCCTCCTTGGATGTGAGATTAATTAAAAGTCCTCGTCTTGCGTGAGAGAGCGCTAATGGAGCGCGAAAGCTCACCCAATTCACAAAGCTTTCACATCACACGTGCTGAAAGCACCAAATTGAAAACCCACACCGAACATGACGTCTTTTCCGTGACCTCTCCATCACATTTGGCGTGTTAAACATCGCGATGCTTTGCCTCTCATTTGCCGAATTGGTCTTTATGGCTGCCAAATCTCTTGCGCATCCATCGCGGCCATCAAGGTTGACGGGCGCTCAACAGCCCAAAATCTCACGAGACACGCAGAGCAAGAAGTGAAAGACTGTGGGATTTCGTGAAGAGTCCGCCTAAGCACTCGTGTGGTAACAACTCATCATCGCCATTGGGATCACCATTGCGCGCAAGAGAGCAACAATAAACAGCCATGAGTAGCGCGTTAAAATACTCAGGTGTTCTCGGCGTCGCTCTTCGCCGCGATCCAGGTGGCACAAGAGGAAGAGCGCACGGAAAAAAGAGGTCTTTAATGCTGAAATCACAGCCAAGTGAAGGCAAAGCTGCGGAGTCGAGGGGGGATTTTATGGCAAAGGCGTTAAGATACTGTTGAAGCATTTCTTCTGACCTGGCTTTCTGCAAAATCGTAAAAACTGTTCAGCGGACGCGACAATAATGTATGAATCAGCCAAATATCAGGCTTAATAGTTGATCATTCTTCGCTACTTCCTAACATTTCGAGTTCATTAAACCGTCGCCAGGAAGTGCAAATATAGTCAGAATTTAGATTCAAATAGCTGAAGAACTAGTCTTGGAATTTCATCAAAATATCATAAGGTTAAAGCTGAAACCAGTAATTTTCTAGAGATTGATCTTATGTTAAAAAGAAATATAACAGCATTTGGCTCGACAGTCTAAGTGCAGTAATCTTTAAAACCAAGTTAAAACTCTTTACCTGCTCGGATGGCACAAACTAGGCCATCTCGAACAGAGAGAAATCCGCCATTTTTCTAGTCATCTCTCAGTCTGTCGATGCACGCTGAAATGTGGCAATTATGAGGTGAACCTAGGTGATCTCATCTCAGCAGTGAGACAATGAGACGCACAATTGGCGCACAGAAAGCGAGACTTCAATCAAAAGACTTGGACACGAGTCAGCTTCTGCACTTTGATAGCTGCTCTCGCATCGGTGCAACTCCCCTCCTCGTTAGCTTGTCTCACGCCTCGACATTTGCAATTAAGCGAGCGCCACGCGGAGGAGGAGGTGTCTCAAAGTCTCAAACTTGAGACAGCGTCTCACCTCAAACATCGCTCGGGCGTCCTTGCATGCGAAATAACAACCAATAAAGTCCAGTCGCGGCGCAGCCAATTTCGCATCGCAGAGAGAAGAAAAGCCAGCAATCGACAAATTGCTTCTGAAAGGCCACTCAGCATAATTTGCCCTCAGACATTATGTCTTCTTATTAAAGTGGCCACGGAGACAGGCGTGCTTGTTGAAAATCAAATCCATGGGAAAATGTCGCACATTTTCACTCCGAGAGGCGAAATGAGATTGAGATTGAAGTGCATTGTGTGCAAGTCCGCCAGTCGCTCGCTCTCAGGTGGGTGAACTCAATAAAGCCACAAGAAAAATCGTGATCAATGGAATAGCAGCAGAGATCAATATAATGATGCATATGAATTTCAGTATAATAAACACACAATGTAATATCGATATGATCCCAATCACAAATTGCAACTTTCCTTCGACAAACTACAAACCAGAATATGAGGAGAATGAATTGATGCAAAAAGTAATGTGAAGAGCGAATAAAGTTCATATTAAAACTCAATTTAAGCGAGGTTTTTCTGTGCGGCTCACTCCGAACGTTAATTTTACAAATCTTTGTATCGATCGACAATCGAAACGTCAATTACGGGACAATTGACGATTTTCGGAGGTGAAAACGTGATGGAGAAAGAGAAGATCGTGGAGCCTTTTAATGCTGTGAAAAGTGGGGAAAAGGCCATGGAAACTCAAGAGAGTTGGGCGAACGCGCAAAAGGAATATCTGCAGAAGAGATTGACCTGGGCTCCAAACTGCCCTATGTCCAATTTTGACCAGAATTACCTGCTGATTAAGGAAGTGAAGCTGCATCCGTGCTTGTACGATCCGAAGTACGAAAAGTTCAATGATTCGAGGCACACTACTGAAATTTGGGCAGAAATCGAGAAGAAATTGAACAGTAATAACAATGGTAAGTCTATTAATTTAACCATTGCTTTATTATTTGTGTATTTCATTGTTTAATGCCTGAATAATGATGATCTTTTAGTGGAGAAAATCATAAACGCGAAAAGACGTTTCGCATCGCTTTACAAAAAGTTCTGTGATGTTTACGTGTTCTTGGGCATTCCGGACAAAGTGAGGCATTCGCAACCAGCGAGCAAGTTTCATTACTACCGAGAAATGGAATTTCTCAAGAATACTATTGATGCAAATAAGAAGAGAGCTATCCGCAAAAGATTCATCGTTCCCGGCGATTCCAACACTTCTCAAATTGTGCCAGTGCAGAAGCGCCCCGCTGAGGATGGGGAAAATGGTCCGCCAAAGAAGATTATGAAGACTTCTTCGCCTCAAGAGTCTCAAGAGGCAGAATCTCCGGCGCCGAATTCAAGTCAATCGATCCAGATCAACCCAAGTGTCTCTGAGGCCAACGAGAGCGTGAAAAGCACGGAAGCTGCGCCTGATTTGCCATGTCCGGAGGCAGGTTTGCAATTTGCAGCAAATTTGTCTGTGGACAACAACCTAGAAGCTCCAGAAGTAGATGCAAAATCTCTGCCGGATTTGTCTGTGAACAAAACACAAAGTCCAGAACAAGACCCTGAATCTTCAGTCAAGTTGACAGCAAAAGACAAGACAGAAATCCCGGAGGAAGGCTCAAAATTCACGTCAGATTTGACTATGAACAGCACTCAAGATCCGAAACAAGGTCCAGAAGCTGTGCAAACTTTGCCTGCTAACAATACGCAAAATCTACAGGAAGATTTGCCTGCGAACAACAATCAAGGCCCAGAAGAACGTCCACAATCCACGCCAGTTTTGCTTCCGAACGGGATTTTTGGAGGCGGCAGCGCTCTAAATCAGCAGCAAACTTCAGTTGTACGACCAAGTTGGCTTGTGAGCAATGTCTGCGGAAGCGACAACAGCTTGGGTAACAGCATGCAATGGCGGGATTCCTTGCAAAATGTGCCCCCGAGGAGCATCGTTCGAAGCACTAGTGTGCTTTGGTCTGCTTTGGGATCTTCACGACCTCCGCGGAATAGGTGGAATATGAGAAGCAACAACTACCAAGGATCAGCATCTCCGGAAATGATTATATTGCCAGATTCAGTTCGGACTTTTCGCAGGAACTTCCAGATGAATCCATCCCGCTTCCCATCAAATCCGCAGGGAATCACCGCGACTCCTGCGATGCGCGAACAACACATTGACTTCTTCTTCAGGAGCGTCGCCGATGAGGTGAAGAGATCCGAGCTCTCGGACAGCGACTATCTCAAGTTGCAACACACGATCCTGAACGCGACCATAAACAAGCCGAAGATGTGAGAGAATTGAATTCGCAGATCTTGAAATGATAACACAATGAAAATTGAACACAATAAATGAAATTATCAATGAATCCATTGTTGCCAATCATCATCAACGTCTTCGGAAATCCGAAAACAAATTCGTTAAGTTTTTTTGCGATCGCGATTCGCGAATGACAGTCGGAAAAATGCAGTGTGAAGGGATGGCGGATTTTGAGAAGATCGAGGAGGCGTTGGACGCTGCGGAAAGTGGGAAAAAAATCAGGGTATCAGGACAATACAACATTAGCAAGGATTCCTTTATACAGAAGAGATTGACTTGGGCCCCACCTCGTCACATGTCCGATCACGATCAGAATTATCTGCTGATTAAGGAAGTGAAGCTGCATCCGTGCTTGTACGATCCGGAGCACGAAAAGTTCAAAAATTCGAAGCACAAGAATAAGATTTGGGCAGAAATCAAGGGGAAATTGAACTGTAATAACAATCGTAAGTCTAATTACTCAATTTTTTGTGTATTTCATTGTTTAATGCTTTATTGTTGTTCCTCTAGTGGAGAAAATCACGAGCGCGAAAGGAAGATTCACATCGCTTTACAAAAAGTTCAGTGATGTTTGCGTATTCATGTTCATTGCGGACGAAATGGAGACTAATTCAGAACCATCGAGGAAGTTTCATTACTACGAAGAGATGGAGTTTCTCATAAAATACATGAAAAGAGAAATGATTAATAGGAGTTTCAAGAAGTTATGCCGCAGAACTTCTCAAAATGCACAAAAGCAGAAGCGCCCCGCTGAGGATAGTGAAAATAGTCCGCCAAGGAAGATTATGAAGACTTCTTCACCTCAAGAGTTCCAAGACGCAGAATCTCCTGCGCCGAGTCCAAGTCAATCGGTCCAGATCAATTCGAGCGACTCTGAAGTTAGCATTGACGTGGAGAACCCGGCATCTGCGCCTGATTTGCCACGTCCGGAAGACAAAGCTGAGCCTTCAGCGGAATTGCCAGCAGACAACAAGGAAAGTGCGGAAGATTTGACTTCGAAGAGCGGAGAAAACGACACACAAGATCCAGACGAAGTTCCTGAGTTGCCCTCGCAAATTCCAAAAGAGAGCCCAGAATCCCCGCCCTTGTATGAACAAGGAGGGAAGCATTCCGCATCCAGACCCGTAAATTCGTACGAAATAAGAATGACTTCTGCGATGCAAGAGCAAAAAATTGATCTCTTCTTCATGAGCATCGCCGATGCGGTGAAGAGTTCCAGAATCTGTGGCACAGCTTTGCTCGTGATGCAGACCAAAATTTGAATATCTTGACAAACCAATTGATTAGGCTAGAGAGGGTTTAGCAGACTTGAGATGGAGTAGCTGATGAACAAAACAACGCTATTTGAACTTAACTACGGATGAAATAAGGCTGGAATACTTTCTGTTGATTTTGAGTTGTTTTCTTTGCTTGCTTTGATCTGAAATAAAACTTTTCCTATCGTTTAATTAAATTTCTTGCATTTGCTCTTTCCAAACATGTTGTGAAAAGGTTCAAAAGACGCCAATTCATTGACCGATTATTAATAATGCACTTCATTCAGCAATCGCTGGTGTAAAAATTCCAATGATATTCAAATAATCACAGCGTGTCTTGCGAACACGTGTTGTTAAAGTGTGGTTTTACATCAAATTGATCAAATTGCTTTTAAAATTAATAATAATAAACATGCTGGGGAAAAAATTGCCAGCAATATTGCATCGTCCGGATTATAATTAAATACATTGTTGCTCTTGATCAACCCTCGCTGACCTATTAGTCGCTGATCCTGAGCTCTAAACACTTTGTGTGGCTTTTGCGGGAAAAAGAGAAACTGCCGCCCATTCAGACTCACGCTGAATTTTGATTCTTGCGCGCAGAGTTGAGAAAATAAAGTCATACATTGTTAATTGTTGGCGAAAAGCAGCTAGAAAAAACATCAATCAAGCGCTTAATTGATTGATTCATGCAAGTTGTGAAAAGCCATGCCAACAATTGCAACTTCATCGAGCCGCGACTTCCACTCGCGAAGCCCACACACTTTCTGGCGGATTGGAAAGGTGTATCTCGGAGACATAATCTGGGAGGAAAATGTCTCATTAAAAAAGCGTATCTTCACTGTTAATTGGACTGTGGGAATGAATTAATTAAGTCCACGAGTATGTAAATTGAGAAATTCATCGCAATTCCGGACATGAGTGCTATTTTGCCAATTTGCCAATGCGCGCGACAAATCAAACCGTGACGCTCGAGCAATTTTTCCGTTGCTTCACAGCGTTTTTGTCCTGCCCAAGGGGGAGATAGTGCCGTCAGAAGTGGTGTACAACTCAGTGGAAGTATGAAATATAAATAATATAAATAAATAAACAAAATAATATAATATGCTTGAAAAGTATGAATTTTATTCTTTTTTTATATGCGAGTAAGTTGAGACAAAAACCAGCGATAAAATCAAACATAACCTCAAAAATATATATTTTTTTAGTCTGATTATGATCATTTTCAGTTCATTTTTACGTCACAACATATTGATATCTTCCGAAATTGACGAAAAATTGCTGATTTCTTAGTACCTGAACCTCTTCCCTGACGAAATTCTTAAAGATATCAGTTCATGGCCTCAAAATTTACTCATATTTCACCATAAGTGTTAATAAATGTAAAAAATTGTCTAGTCAAAGTGCAGAAAGTTGAAAAAGAGTCATTTTTAGGCACTGCCGAAGTGTCTGAAGCGTTACAGATTTTCTATACAAATTGAGGAATTTGTGGACTGAATCTGGGCTCACTATCTCCCCCCTGACTCGCTGGCATCTCAATTTTTGTTGAGCTTCCACGAACGGCATTTGGAAATGAATGTCGTTGAGAAATGAGAGTCAAGAGATGCCGAGGCGGGAGAGAAAATAAAAAGCGCACAACTCAACATGCACGTGTTCACGAAATTCCTCCCAAAAAAAAAGAACGATCTCTTCTCTCGAGAAGCCGCCCAATAAAGCTTTTTCATACAATCTATGTGCGCGCCTTTTAACCTCTTTTGCCATCCACTTCATTCTCTTCCCGTGAGACTCTGAATGGTAATTTGGATTCAGCGGCGATGAGACTGTGGCTTCTCGGGAGACGCGAAGCAGCAGACATTCCCGGTATGAATAGTGGAGCGACGGAAGACATTCTGGACCAGCGTGCATGAGGAGATTACATTGATGGAGGCAAGAGATCACCTCTTCTCGGCTGCCGGTGTGCTCGGCGGCGGGCGGCGGCTGGGGGGGGGGGGGAGAATGAAACGCGAAACAACAAATGAGAAATGCCTCAAAAACTCCCTCAGCGATCGCGCACAGCGGAGAGGAAAAAAGAAGCATCACAGCGAAAGAATTCAACGCAAGGTAGTACAGAAGAATTACTTCTCTTTCTCACAGTCAACAACAGCACACACTTGGTGACCATCGAGGATGAGAGGAGATGTGAAGAAAACAACACACAATGAGCGTCCCAAAAGCAATGGGAAATTGAAGATTCGGCGCGTTGTGAAAAGAATTCTCAGGTGGACAAAATTGCTTCTCACTTTGGAGAACTCATCCCACCTGAGATTCACAATGACGAGAAAGAGTCTCTCTCATGAGCGCTGGTATTTGAGAAATTTCCACATCTACGATCGATTTTTTTTCCTTTCCTCTGCGCTTTCGACGGAAGACGCGCGTTTAATTTGCATCGCAAACACCGCGAAGACCAAGGCCGGCGAATAAAATGCGCCCAAGAAGCCAAATCACCTTCGTCGTTAACAGTGAGCTTTTTGCCGAGACAACAACTCCCCGCGGCCCAGGGACACCGGCAAAGATTTCGCATCTCGGCGCGCAAGGGGGAAATATCGCGAGCCTTTCGTGCGCCAGAACACTTTTGTCTATCCAATATAGCGGCATTTCCTATCGCGTCACAAGCTAATGCTAGCTTGTTTCTGATAGAGAGAGATTCTCAAGGGTTTTCAAGAAGTCTTTTTTATCTTGTTTTTTTTGAAAGAAGTGAAAAGCATTTATAGCGATTTATAGAAAAGAATATGTTTAAGATAGACTAACAAGCATTTAAAAATAACTTATAACTTCATACCAATATTTGACCTTCCTGAAACCAATTAGAAGATAAAAAAAATTGCTTAATGATTAAAAAAAAAAGTGAAAACCACGTCAAAAACAATAAAACTGAAGAAAAAAACAGATAATAAAAGTGTTCAGTGTTGGTTTTGAACTCGCAACTCCTTGAGAAAAAAGATAATTGTCAAGAAGTTCCATTTAATTAACTAGTGAGCGCGGCAAATTGGGAATTTTCTAATGAAAACATTTTTTATGTGAAAAAATCATAGACACAATCAATTTTACGAAGACCACAAAAGTGATTTGTGGTTAATGAAAATAACATGCGAATTTAGTATCTGTTTTAGGGCCATGAAATGCTGTGCAGCCGTGAAAATAGCGCCAAAATATCGGCCTCTTGGCGCGGAAGGATGAATGATGTGGCTGTTCTGCCACACCGCCGCCTCCCCGCCGCCCGGTGCGCGCCCCATCGCGCCCCTCGCGCGGCCCCGAGAGCAGCAGAGATGTAGACATAGCGTGATATTCCCTCATGGACGATCCGAGGCGCTGACGTCACGATCGCTGGCGACAGAGCGGCGGGCGAACACCTGCATCCGATACGATACTGGACCATGGATCGAGAATACTATGTGGCTCCGAGATCGTCGGCATTTAATTCACACATCGCGCCGTCTCGCTCTGGTGCGGCATTGTGCGGCCGAGCGCTCGCACTCGGTGCGTATTTTATGCCAATCTTCTCACGCAGCTCTTCGCGCCCATGAATTTTTCATCTCGCACTCTCGCGGGCCTTTTCGGGGCGCGCATCGGCGGATTGGCAAAAACCATCCGCAGAATCTGATGCTCTGCTTTAACAGCGCTTTTTGGGAGAGATTCTCAGTGATTTTTCTGCACACGAAGGGCTTTTAAACATCCTTGGAAACATCTTCAGAAGTCTCATGAATTCATCATCAATTCCATGATGAAGAGATAATGAAGACAGTGTTATTAAAAGCGCTTCTTTCTCATGCGTATTCTCTATGAACTATGAAACATTGGCTGAAAATTCCACAGAATTCCTTGGAAAATCCATCAGTTTGATTTATTATAGAATAATTCTTATCACCAAAAGAAGGATTTGCTGAAGAAAACAGACAACAATTGGCACTCAATTGGAAGACAGCGAATTGGGACGGTGTAAATCATACTCAAGACAGAAACGTTTGCCAGATTATATCAGTTTAATTACTTTGATAAAACTCATCATAATTCCAGTGAATGATAACGATTGATTAGCACGAAATCAATTCAATTTTCTCACAATATGGAGCGGAAAGTATTCAAATACTGAGAAATTCGTCGATTTTCGCTGATTTTCCTGACGCAAAATGCACAATCAACATTTCTGCATCAACAACATCAACTTTCAACGTTGAATTTTCGCCCGGGATTTGAAATTGTGACCGGGCCTCCTTTTGCATATCTTCAGGCAGTTTTGGCGCGCAGAGCGAGAGCGATAGCTCTGCGCGATAAGAGGCTGGGAGGCGCGGAGAGAGCTTGGCCTCCAAGGCAGGTTCTCGGGCTGATAGACGACTTCAGTCAGTCAGTCAGTGGCTCGTGTGCGTTTGTGATTCAGTGCGAAAAGGAAGTCCTGCAGGAAAATGATGGCTTTGAGGGCGCGCAGCGTGATGCAGATCGGCGATCGGGTGCTGCACAGGCACATGTCCAGCGGCGCGGGCAAGCGCGTGGGCTTCGTTGGCCTGGGCAACATGGGAGGTCATATGGCGAGCAATCTTATCAAGAAGGTACCGCTTACATAATGCACTTCTTTGCACTTGACTCTCTCCCTTATCTCGGCCACGAGCCGCCACACCTCTTCTCCCTGGCACTTCCCGGGCTCGCCGAGCCGCACAGTGACTTTGGCTTATGCAAAATGCCTCTGAAAAGAGCGAAAGTGCTGTTAAATCACTCACGCACACACCGAAGCGGCAATTTAACACGTAGCTATTCCTGAGCCGTTTCCCGTGATCTCGTCACCGACCACGTGATCAGAACCAAGGGGCAGATAATTGGTCAGAACTGGGGCACAATTCAGCAGAAGTTGAATTGTTTAAGGACTTGCGATATTTCCCTCACTGGTCCTGAATCACTGTAAAAATAAATTCGAAAGACGAACATACCCTCAATTAATTATGTGATTTTGATCTAGAAAGATTCTAATCGGGATCCCTTGAGAACACTCAGTAGTACTCAAGGATTATGGTCAAAAAAAATACTGAAAAATGCTATTAGAGAAAGAAAGTGTAAAAAAATTTTGTCTATCAGTTAGATTTCAATTAGTTTCCAGTTGATTTTCAGTAATGACAAAACCAAAATTAACCAAATTGTGCAGTTTATCTCCCCCTTAGAACATTACCTAATTTCTCTGACCGCTTTTTCAGGGTCACAAACTCAATGTGTACGATATCTCGGCGCCCGCCTGCGAAGCCCTGAAGGCCAAGGGCGCCACGGTGAGCAAGAGCTATCAGGATGTGGCCAAGTCGTCGGACTTCGTCGTCACGATGCTGCCCAACAATGATATCGTCTCGGAGACGTACAAAGACATGGTGTCCGGCGGCGTGAACAGCGACACAGTCTTCATTGACTCCAGCACAATCGACCCCAACGTGGCGCAGGCCGTGCAAAAGCTGGTCAAGTCCAAGGGCGCCACGTTCGTGGACGCTCCAGTGTCGGGCGGCGTGCCCGGCGCCGCGGCAGCCACGCTCACGTTCATGGTGGGCGGCACGGAGGCGGAGTACCAGACGGTGAAGGGGCTGCTGGAGGGCATGGGCCAGAAGATCACGCACTGCGGCGGCTACGGCATGGGCCAGGCGGCCAAGATATGCAACAACATGATGCTGGGCATCTCCATGGTCGGTCTGTCCGAGGTGATGAACCTGGCCATCCGTCTCGGTCTGGACGCCAAGACGTTCGGCGACATTGTCAACTCCTCCACGGGCCGCTGCTGGTCGTCCGAGGTCTACAGCCCCGTGCCCGGCCTGGTGGCCACGGCGCCGGCCAACTTCGACTACGCCGGCGGCTTCGCCACCAACCTGATGACGAAGGACCTGGGCCTGGCCAGCGGCGTCGCCACGTCCTCCAACACGCCCATCCCGCTCGGCGCCATGGCGCACCAGGTCTACCGCACCGTGATGGCGCACGGCCTGGGCGACAAGGACTTCTCCGTGGTGTACGACTTCCTGCGCAACCAGGAGAAAAAGTGAGCTCACCGGAAACGCCCCACACGCACTCGAAGGAAAGCTTTAAAGCGATGCATTTAACTTGTTTATAATCCAGAATCCAGTAGAGAATTAACGCCCCGAATTCACCGTTGACCCAAAATAAAGAGGTTTATTTTACAAACTCACGCCTGCTCCACAATGTCTTGCTTGTGAATGTGCTCACGCACGTACTGCGACTCCACTTCGCAGCTGTTCACACACGTGTAGATCGCCAGGACGCCCCAGTCCAGTGTCAGGCCGTCATCGCGCAGGTAGTTCAGCAGCTGCGGCATGATCTGGAAGACAGATTGGCTCTGATAATTGGGAAAAGGCTTCAGATGAACAGATTTGGGTTCTAGCAAGCTTATTCTAGTCCTATTTTACGCTAGTAATTTGCATTTCCTGAATTGAATTTGCGCCACCACGAAATTTATCTCCGCGCAGACCTGAATTTTACGCTTATCAGTCTTATCAGACACAGGCCAAGGCTCTAGATCTCACCTGAAACTCAAAGACACGCTCATCGCCGCACAGCGAGCACTTTGGAATGGCGTCCGGGGCAGGGACATTGGTCGATGTGATCCACAGAGGACTGCCTTTCCGGCAGTAGCGCAGGATCTGCTCGGGCTCCTGCGCGGTGATCTTCTGAAAGTGTGAGAACGCCTCGTCCTCTTCTTTGGCAAATTTCAGCAGCTCCGTCTCCGGCACGTCCTTGAAGTCTCCCGCCTTTCCCTCGCTCACCATCTTCTCGTACTCCGCCAGCTGCGCGCGCTCCTGCTCGTCCTCCGCGCACGCGTTGTGCTGCACCACCGCCTTCTCCGTCTCCAGGATGATCTCGTACTCGGGAAACAGGGGCGACGCCTTGCCGGCGCCGCACTTCTCCCGGTGGCCGCTCTTCCAGTCTAGCCGCTGATGCGCCGGGCCGCAGTAGAATGTGTTCTTGCACTTGGGGCACTGAAAGGGGCCCCGGCAGCCGCACACGATACACAATTGGCACACGTGACTCGTCTCTGCCTTCGTGTCGTCCTCCTGGGGCGCCTCGAAGGAGTAGAACTTGTTCTTCCTGGGCAGTTGGTTCCGGAAGACGATGAAGTTGTCGCTCTTGTTGGCCTGGCAACACTCGGCGTTCTTGCACATAAACACATAGATTGTACGGTGAAAGGTCTCAGGCTCGTCCAGGGACGCATAAATCTGGCACAGGAAGATGCACGGCTGCTTGCAGGAGGCACACTTCAGCTCGTCCGGATGCGGAAGATGCTCCAGGTCAAGCCACGCTGGCCGGCCGCCGACTTTGCTGGGGAAGTACGTGTTCGTGAGCAGGTAGTCTTCGCTTTCCTCTACAAATCCCAAGTCCACATCGTCCACCGTGGACGCCTCTCCCATGATCGCTCCGGATGGGGGCACTTTTGCTGGAGAAAAGCGGCGCAAAGAAGCACCGGAAAAACCACAACAACAAGTGACAATCTCGAGCTGAGATTGAGGTTAGGTCACACGTGTTGTTTGTTTTGATTATTGCGTTTCACGCGCGTTGTGACTTTTGGGGGACTCAGGGAGAGATGAGCCCCCATGAGAAGTACGAAACGGTGAAGCTCGCCTTTGTACGAAGCCTGGAGAAGAGGGAGGATCTCCGATCGGTTAAAGAACTCTTCCGGAAAGATGTCAGCCGACGAAGATTGGATTTTATTGAAACTCCTGCACACTTGATGTCAATCCTGGAGGCTCAGAGTCTCATTGCCGAGGACATCACCGACGGCTTCCGGATGATATCGAACTTATTGGGCGATCCTGGTCTCCAGCTGGTGGTGACGAAGTTCCAACAGGAAATTTCCCAGTCAGCAGGGAAGAAAACTCCCGGAATTAATATCTATGCGGAGGAGAGAAGGAGTCAGGCATCGCTGGGAGAAGTGGCCAGCAAGGGGAAGGAGAAGAAGGGATTGTCGATTCCCAGGGAGACGAAAGAGGAGATCTTCCGGCTCGTGGCTGAGCAAATCGGGAAGTATTGGCTCACCTTCAGTCGAAATCTGGGATTTCGCCAAGCAGAGCTAGATTCCGTCCAAGAGCAGCACAGGGATCTCCCGACGCGCGTTTATGTGATCCTGGAGCGCCTGGAGGAGTCGCAGCCCGACGAGATGTTCAACCTGATCTGCAAAGCGCTGTCAGAGAGTCGCCGGAACGACTTGCAGGAGCGCGTGAGGGGAATTCTGCTGAAAAAGTCTCGTCCTGTTTAATAAACTGAGTTTTTAATTCAAGTAAATCCCGTGATATCGATTGCAGTGAGAGAACACCCATGATTTTGCTGGATAAATTACATTTCACACAGTCTCATCGTCGAGATGGAGCTGAACTGAATGGAGAGAAACGGAGACGCGCCTGGTCCTGAGGATGATGCAACTCTGCCCAGCATCTAGAGTTCGTACAGCGCGTTGATGTTGCCGTGCTTGCTGTTGCTGGAAGTGTCGTTGTGCAGCACGTACTGGATCTTCATGTTGGGCGGAAGCTTCATGCGGTCGCGGATGGTCTGTCCGATCTCCATGTTCGCCACCTTGTTCTGACTCGATCTCGTCCAGACGCCTGCGAGCGAGAAAAACCAGTCAGCACAGTCAGGAGGCTTTCCTCCGGCCAGAAATACTCACAGATCTTATCTCCCTTGCCACGTATGCTCGCCACAGCGCCGCAAATCTCGTCCGGATGCTCGAACACCTCGCCAATGAGGCAGAGCAGCATGTCCAGCCACAGGCGGTCGAACTCCGTGTGTCTCTGGTACTTGTCGAGCGTGAGCATCCACTTGCCGCCGCGCTTGTTGTACTGATCCTCCCACATCGGCTTGATGCCCTTCTTGAACAGGTTGAAGTCCGTGCCGGACTTCATCTCGGACAGCAGCTTCACGTGATTGTAGAGACTCCAGAAGTCCTCCACCGTGTCCACGCACGTGATCTCCACCAGGTTGTCCTCCCACTTGCGCGTGCGGTTGTTCTCCATGTACCACAGGCACCAGGTGTGCTGCAGCGGATGCTTGGCCTGGATCTCGGCCGGCAGATCCATGGCGGCACCCGCTGGATCGCTGCCGTTCTCTGTCTCCTCCTTCACCTCGCGCTCCTCCGTCACCTCCGCACTCTCCGTCTTCACATCCATTTTCCACCGCACAGCAGACAAAAGATGCCCCGAAGAGAGGAAGAAAAGACAAATTGTCAGTCAGGCAACTTGATTTCCCAGACACTTTAACCTCAATCGCTCTCGCAGCAAATCCCACTCATTCCATGGCACACAGTGCTCCACACATCCCCCTGACCCCGCACAATTCCTGTTAGACGACTCCAGGAGTGGGAAAAACAGCAAATTTGGAGATAATTCGGGCAATATGGCAGAAATGTTACAACTTTCTCTGCCACATTTACCCTCATTTTCTTCCTTTTCCCCCAAATCAACCCTCATTCTCACACTCTCCACCCAAGCAGAGAGATCTCAGAACTCACCACGACCTCTTCAGTCGTTGATCCAGCCATGATTTCCTCTGAATTACGAGAAAATGTGTGAAAATTCCACGAAATGCACTTTTTGAGCTGACAAAAAGTACTAGAGAAGCTGTCAAAATCTTGCGCATGAAATCCGCCAGAGGCGCTCACGGGATTTTTCATCAAAAATCACCGGTAGAAAACTATACGGAGAATCACTGTAATTTTATCACTAAAGCAACACAATTGTATTTTTTTTAACACTTCCCAAGAAATTCTTTAATGGTTAATTCTTAGTTCTTGAGAAAATGGAAAAATGCCGGTTGTGTGATTCACCAAAATCCCGGTAGATTGTGTATTCTGCTGCGGCAACCCCAGAATACATGTTCAGCTGTCTGACTGATGTGTAAAGTTTTTTAATTATGCGTGAAATTCGGATTTTGCGTGCTTTATAAGGTGTTTAGGAACTGTATTTTCTTCCAAACAAGGTAAAGAAGGAGTTGAAATCATGCGGTGGGTTGCGCATATAGTGATATTCGATAAAAACTGCGGTAAAGCTGTGCGCCAGGATTTATCACAGGTATGGCGAATTCTTCACGTTTCTTGCTTTCTATTATTTTCTGGACCTTGTGGCTCTTATCTGGTGTGAGAAATTACAGCCGAAGGCGAGCATGATGGTTTCTTTCGTGATGATAAGAAGGAGGAATCATAAAATCCACTGCAGTGAGGTTATGTGATGAGGAATCCTTTGTTTACTTCTTGTTTTTCTTGTTTCCACAGACGACCAGCACGCTGGCCAGCAGTTTAGCAATCCCAGAGACGCCGAGAGTGTCTGATGATGAGTCAGACTATGAGGAGGAGGCGTGGGAGAGCCTCTTGACTGCCACTAGGAGTCTCCTTTACACGCCAAACAGTCTGATGGACGTGGAAACGAGTCCTCACGAGCATCTGAGGAAGATCATCGACGTGATGACGACCAATGCGAGTGCAGATCTCGCGGCGAAGACGCTGAATGAGATGTGGAGTGTTGTGTTGAATATCGTGCCAATGGTGAAAGTCGCCAATGAGAAAATGAATCTGCGAAGTGACTTGGAATTCAAGCTGATCACAATTGATCTCCTCACGCAATATGTTAACTTTAAGGCCAGAGTCACAGAGGTTGAGATCTCCAATCGCTACATCACGGCTGACGAGCTGGAGAGGAAGCGCGAGGATCTGTACATGAAGATCTTCCTGCTGCTGGACAGCTCGATTGAGGACATCCTGATGCTCCTCATGAGTCTCGATGTGCAGAAGAAATACGACGGAATGCTCTATCCGCTCTTCAAGTGAGTCAGCGCCGCGCGCGCGATGGCCGAACGTCGTCTGATTGCACAGCGCCTCTCTTTTGCAGGAATGTCCTGACCAACCCGACGTTCCACCAGAAGCTGGACACCATTAAGTACGTCCGCAGAATTCTGTGCTTCCGCAAGTGGCGGAAACTCACGCCGCATCGCGAGGAGAAGAAGAAGATCTACGATTACGCCAAGATGATCATTCCGCGAATCATGCCAACGAGCAGCGTGAAGTCGCAGGTCTTCTGCCAAATCCTGGCGCCGATCTCACGACGGAAGAAGCAGATGACGAGGTGAGTAAGGGATGAATAAGGCGAGACTAATCCTTCACTCGATTTGCCTGTGATTAGATTTCTCCTGAAGAGCAAGCATGTGGACGAGCAGAAGCAAGTGCAGGACTTCTTTAGGTTGTGGAAGACGAGTGTGATGATTAATGAGAAGTTCTTCAGTGTGCCAAAGGTTCAGGAAGCTGTAAGTATGGTGATAATGAGGGGCGTTTTAGGCCTTTTTTGCAGGTGTTTTTGCATCGAAATCATCAATCAACACTCTTCAATCAACAAATTGTCTTACATGTTTGAAGTTCAGAATTTGTTAGTAATTTGTGCAATGTTAAAAATCATCTCAGGATCTTCAATCAACATTCACCAGCAATCATCAATCAACTCAAGGCGGCCGTTCGCTGAAGGACAGCGGAAAGAGCTGACAATTGAGAAAAAACGCGCGTAGAATTAAGAATAGTTTGTCTTCTCAAGAGATTGTGATCAATTTGTGTGACTCCGATGAGGAAATGCAGGAATGTGCGCCCGTTGTGGAGGTGCTGGACAGCGAGGAGGAGGAGCGAGAGATTGTCAGGCGACAGAAGAGGAAAGAGCCAATGTCGAAGACAGAGAGAGGAATTTCACGAATCGCAATCAGAAAATGAAGACATTTAGCGCATAAATATGACGGACAATTGATTAATACACTTAGAATTAGTGCAGATAATGTAGATAGAGACGTAATTCCGGAGCTGAGCAAGAGTACAATATAATTAATTAACAGGAAGCTCTTCAAGCTTGACAGTGAAGAATTGTCATGTCGAGAAGAAGTGTAACTAATTCAATTCAAAGGATTCTTTTGTATGTTAACAACAATCAACACGGCAATGCAGAATACATGCTCAGATAAGTATCAACTAATCACTTCAATCCCTTTCTTGGTGTTCTTCTGTAATCAATTGGACTCTTATATCGATCGGCTAGTGAAGATTTTCCCCCTTTTCCCCTATAATTGTGTGAATTCCAATAGAATATGTATAGTATTATTTTCTATTGATATAAATACCAATAAACAGCTCGCTTTTTTGTGTGTAAATTACAATTAAAATATCCGCGCATAAGAGCATGTAAATACGATTTATTCGGCATTAGTGATACGGAAAACAAATTGCAAATATTTTAAAATTTATGGACGAAATCCACACGAATCTCGAAACACAAGACATATAATAATATCTTAAGTTCTCGGCGTAATTTTGATGATTTCTTATCCATCATTAAGTATCATTTCACTCTTGCTATTCATGTTCATAATTAGGTAGAATTTAGATATGAAATCGTGTAATAAAATTGAAATAATCATAAGAAAATACTCGCTTTACTCCTTCGTCGCTGCAGAGTGAATTGCAAGATCAATAGAGTCGCTGCATTTGGTGTGAAGATGTGTGCAGACAGGATGGTTTGGCTGTGAAAGTGTCCCTTTGCTAGGCAGCTGGAGAGTGGGACGCGCGCGTGGGGAAAAGCTCGGCTTCATGGCGGCGCAGAGACGCCGACGAAAGTGCGCATGATTCTCCGAGAGACGCTCAGTGGCGTAGTGAGCGTGTTTTTCTCATTCCAATGGATTTAATTTAATAGCGACATCAGCTCTTCAATTGGTTTTAATGCGTTATGGAAGTTCGCTCAAGTGGATGGCATTTTAGGGGAATCTCCCCCCGATTAGAATATCTAATCTAATCTAATCATATCAATTCCATATGATATTTAGCTCTCAAACTTGCATTCAAATTATAAACTTACTGAAAACTTCAAATTCCTCAAATGAAGAGAGAAACTTTTCTGCCTTCAAAGTTTTCAAAGATGTTAAACATCAACTAAAATCCTTTAAAAGCGCTCTTAGCTTAATGTGAAGTTAGATGTTCTCAAGAAAAACAACACATTTCAGATTATCCACGAAAACATATTCAGTGCCGTCTTAATTGTGTTTATATCTTTCAGCTGACTTGTTATCGCGTTTGATAACAAGGTTAAAAACAGATTGACAAGTGACAGTGAAAAGGAAAATTTTGAGGAACATTTTCGGCTATTTTTGTAAGTATTCGAGGGAAAAAGAGGACTTCCACCCAGCACAAAGCTTTGATAGAATAGAATATAGAACAATAGTGGCTGAAGTTTCCTGTGTTCTTAATTAACCTGCATTCTCTGGGGATGTTTTGCTCTTATTGTGAGTTTTGACGAAAATTTCCGAGTTGAAATACAATTAAATATGTAATTTTCCAAGCAAACCGACGCAAAGGACGTGAACATGGACAAATCTCAGTCAATCCTGGAGCTCAACGACGATTGTCTCTTGACAATCTTCTCCTATCTGAATGTCCGGGAGTTGATGACAATAGAGAAGGTTTGCGAGAGATTTAAGTCACTTGCCGAGATGGTTTGCAAAACGCAGCAATGCCTATTGTTTGATGAGGTTGAGAGGGACCAGAGATTCACTGTGGAGGAAGTGCAGGACATTTTAACGAGACCCGTTTCTCAATTAAACACCTTGAAGGCAAGTGACCGAGCATTTTCTCATCCAATTGAAAGTCTCCGCAATATTTTGAGTAACTGTGATAACTTGAGAAAGCTTCACCTCGATGGATTCAGGATCAGGAAGCCTGAGCTTCAGCTTCTGTCCAAGACATTTGCAAACCTCAAAGTGGCTCATCTGAGAAATTGTGGTCTGAATGACGATATTATGGAAAAGTGCTTACAAGAAGCGACGCAACTAGAGACGCTCAATTTGCCTCTTAACTTCAACATCCAAGGACAGTGGCTGACTGAATTGCAGAACATTCAGGAGATTGATATAAATGGCTGCTCAGAAATTAAGCAGTCTTACTTCGAGCAGTTTCTCAAGTGCAATCGAGGACTGAAGAGGCTCAACGCAAACTTCTGCGACTTAATGTATTCCTCGTGTCTCGATCTTATCGCAACACTTGAGAATTTGGAGTGTTTACACATCAGAATAACGTTTAAATGTAATTTGTCAGCCTTCCACTTCCTCGCAGACTTGCCTTGCTTGCGGCATCTGAAGATAAATTACTGCACGGATTTCGACATTGATCCTTTACTGGAGAAACTGGCCAAACGCAATGTCCTTGAGACTCTGGATGTCAGCAATGGAATGTGGATGCCAGAGAAGCAGCAATTTTCCCATCTCTCGTCCTTCTCCAGGTTGAAGGTGTTGAAACTCCACCGATGGTTTTCCTTGACTGACGACATTCTTAGCCGGTTGTCATCCGAAAATCCTCTTCAGGAACTTCACACGGAAATTTGTCCAAATATTACACAAAACGGCCTTCTAACAGTCATCAAGAACTGCCCAGAACTCAAGATCCTCAACATATACAGATGCAATGGTGTCACTGATGATCTCATCGCCAGAGTCCTGCCGATTCTGCAGGAAAGGACAACAACCCTAGAAATTGTTGTGGACAAAATGCAACAGGCTTCTTTCATGCGAAAACACATCAACAATTCGAAACTTAAGATAATTGACCTACGTTTACAAATATTTTGACAATAAAATGAAGAAATCAAGCAGTTAACATGAAAATTTGATTGATTCTTATTAATTTCTAATGCTTGAGCTCCAGTTTCAACAAGTCAGCTTTATATATTATGTTATCGAAATCAACATCAAAAATACGTAAGTATATTTATTGCCCCAAAATCAGTCTAAACAAATTGACTTAGAAACAAGCATAGACTGAAGACTGTGCAGAAAATAAGCAATTTCTGGTATAAATATCTCGTATGAAGAATACTGAAGCATCTCAACTTTTATGGACGCGAGACTGTTGCTGATGATGCACAAGAGAGCGAAGTCACTGCAAATTACCTCATGGTGCAAAGCAAACTCCTGAGAACCCATAACCTTATGATATGTGACGAAAGTTTATATGAGTTTTGGAAATAAAATTAAAATGAGTCTTCAGACATCATATAAAGTGTTCTAAAAAGCAGTTGTGATGGCTTTTAATCCGATGAAATCCTGACTCCTCAACGTACTACGCCCCTGATTTTCCCCAGAAAGCTCCCCTTATCGGCCCATTGAGGGGTAAAAGGTCGCCTGAACCGAGGGGAGACGCACACATTAGGCAATTGCGTGTAATTCTGAGTTTTTTGTCGAAGCTTTTTGCGTGCTGAAATTCGTCTCTTTTTGCGCTTTTCCACCCTTGAAAACTGTTGCATTTGCAAAGCTCGCCGCGTGCGATGTAGACCCCTCGATTGCGCCCTTCGATCCGTCTCGCTGGCTCTCATCCTGACGCCCCCTCTCGAGTGTGTGGGTGCTTCGCCGCTGGGCAGACGGTGCAGGATTAGTGAGTGCCGAGAAGACGCTGAGCAGCGGTGGCCGGAAAGTTGCTGGCGAGAGAGCACGTATATTCGAGAGGGTGTCACTGCTGAAGGAGAGAAAATTTGCCCTTGTGTCGCTTCGGCGGGTGGAAATTGATTGTCAGCGCGCGGAGGACGTCTTCAGGCGACGACGACGTAGGAAAAGGAGGCCAGGAAGAGGGTAATTCAGAGAGTAAATTGCACATAATTGTAGTGTCTTCAGCACCATCTGGCATATAGTTGCTGCTGTTGGTGTATTTTCTCACCATCTCCAAAGCCATCACTCGTCGTCACGTTTTAATTCACATAGAAGCTTTTCTGGGGGTGTCTTCTTCTCTCGATGTGTGAGTGTGTGTTTTGTGTGGCGTCGTGCTAATTGAAAAAGAGTGGCAAAAGTTGAGGAAAAGTGTGCAGAAAAGTCGCCTTTTCGGCTGGGTGCAAAAGGTGTGAGACGTGCGGAAAAATATGGGGTGAAAAGTATATTAAAATGAACCCACGTAGAAAATTGCTTTCTCAGGCACACGAAATTGCGGAAAATTGTACGCAATTATGAGTTATTGTGTGAGAGTTGAGGGCAGAAGGCGCTTAATGCATAAAAAGGCGTCTTTATGGCTGTTTTCAACTTTCGTTCACGCACAAGTGCTGTAATTTAGTGAGCGTGGAGAAGGAATTCACGGGCAATCTCAGATGAGATCAGCTTAAAAGCACACCGCAAACAAATGGATTTCTTTTTACGAGTCCACAAATTCAATAGGCGCCAGAAATACGACTTTCTTCCTCCATCGTCAGGGATATAAATAAAATATCCCAATTCATCCTCTCAATAATAATAAATCATCAATCACGATTGAGTGTAACTTCAACTCAATTCAATTTCTCCTTTTTCCATCAAATAGTTCTTCTGGGTTGATGGAATGCTTAGCAAATATACACGGCTAGGGGGAATTACGGAGGATTGAGGGTGGCTGGGGTGACACAGAGTGCGATTTCCCACTTAATTAATGCAATCGAGAGACGAGAAGTTTCGCCCATTTTGCAATTTACCTCCTCTCGTGCTCCATGATCCCGTAATTGCTTTTATTTATATCACACTTCTCCACCTGCGCGCCATGATAAATTGGGATTTCATCGACTGTCGAGAGCTTGAGTCATTCCAGAGGCTCTCGAAATCCCCCAACAATGAAGACACGCACAACAGGTGGTGGATTTTAAGGCCTCACTTTCTCTCTCTCTTGGCTCTGGAGGGAAATTCTCAAGACTTTTGCATATCCTTCCGAACAGTTTTTTTTCTGCCCTCCCAGACAAAGCGGAAATGTTGTGACCTTTCCAAGCATTACGAATTTGATGACCCGTGAATAAGTGTTATTGATCTCCGCGTAATTTCCCATGCTGAAATTAACGGCCCAGCAGAAGGAGAAGAAAAGTGCAATGGAAAATCCCAAAGGTTCATTGGTCGCCGAGTTGTCTCCGAGTGACGAAAATTGCCATGTCGCTCTCAGCCAAATAAATACAATTACTGTTGGGCAAAACCACAGTTCAGCCCGAAATGTCAGTAAAAGTTTCATGAGGGAGAAATTTCGCCTGTCCTTCGACCGTGTCAAAGTTTATTTGTCTCCATCGTCATTCGATTTGCTTGGCGACTAATGTGAAAATCCTCTCACCGTCATCCCTCCCCATAATTTATCGTCTTTTTCCGTGAGATCATTAATAAAGAACCGCAGTAAGAACTAAAAAGGATACGCGTCACATTAAAATTCACCTTCTCAGAACAGCTTCAAATATGACTCATGCATGATTGATGAGAAAAGTTTAATTTATTGGCTAAAAATACTCGAAACGTAAACTATTGATTAGGTAAATATTCTTCGTGTGACACGCTGTAGTTTCTAGGAAAAAGAACCTTTCAATCTGCCAAAGCTACGATCTTAGACATTGAGGAAACCTTATGGGCGGAGCATCGAAATGGGCGTGGCCAAAACTTTCCCTCTTTGCTTTACAACTTCTGATGCGCTTCAGTTACCCTGAATATGAAGTTTAATGGGCCAAAAGTTCCTGAAAACTCATAAAATTGATATATTTAGTAGATAAAGTCTTGAGCTTCATTAATTGGATATTCTCACGCCAGAAATACAATTTATTTCCCTTATTGGGTGGGGAGTTTTGAGAACATAATCCAGGAGAGCGTTATGTGAATTAAAATCAAGATAAAAACTGACTTCCAACACCATGAGATAATATACTTTTTTTTTAATTTCCATAATGCAATCTATTTTTACGAACCATATTACACAAAGTAACACAAAGAGTGATGCCTTCATTGTGCGGGAATCTCACGTAATAATTTCCAGATAACTTTTCGTGATGAAATTCAGCAAAGTGTGACTCTGGGTGGCTGCAAAGCAGATTAAATTTCCTCCCTCGTCATGTTAAAGTAACTTCACGGTCTTCACACCCAATGAATATTGAAAATGTGTGGCAATTAATTGACGAGACACTCTCTAACGACTATTTGTCAACCTTATCATTTTTCGCGTAGGCGTTCTGATCCGTCGTCCTCATCTGCAACCTTTGGCAGCTCAGTCTCGAGTGGGAGTCGGTGAGATAATTGCTGCGAAGCTCTCCCTCTAATTTGCATACTGAAGCTCTGCACTTGCAGCTCGATGATGACTTAAGGAAGCGCTGGTCAGCACATTCTTTGACTCACTGTACTCACATCATGAATGTCACAGAGTCGCTGGTGACTCCAAGTGGCGAGGAGACGCTGATCACCTCGCTGGCGCTCTTCTCGAAGCACGCCATCACCAAGGCGCCCAACACAGAAGTCTCGCCGGTGACGCTGTCGCCGGAATGGTCGCGAGTGGCTCGCCTGCTGCTGCTCTCGTGCCTCTCTGTGGTGGGCAGCGTGGGGAACATCTTCCTCATCTCCTCCATCATGATTGAGGACCACCTGAAGAAGGCCGGCAACGCCTTCATCGTGAGCGTGGCGCTGGCCGATCTGCTGATCACGAGTCTCCTGATTCCCTCCTCGGCGATCCTCCTTTTGGCGGGCATCGATGACTCCCTGTCCGTGTGCAAGTTCCAGTGGTTTCTGGCAGCCTGCGCATTCCTGATTAGCGTCCTTTCGCTTTCGGTGAGTTTCTGCAATTCAGAATTTTCACAAACCCCAACACTGACTATTTCCGATTGATTTTCCCAGTCGACAGCCGTTGAGAACTACCTGCGACTGTGCACGTCTCAGGACGGAAGCGCCTGGTTCAACAAGACGTCCACCACGGTCATCCTGCTGCTGATCTGGCTGATCGGCGGCACGTCGTCTGGCCTGCAGTTCGTCTTCAGTTTGAGCTTCGACTACTGCACGCGCAAATCTACGGGAATCGTGCCCTATCAGATGGCCATCGTGGCCCTGCTCATCCTCCTGCCCATCGTGGTGACTTTCTATACGCACGTGCGCATCATCCTGGACGTGCGCCGCCTCATGCAGGCGCCCAACTACAAGCCTTCTCTCGGCTACACGTGGGATCTGTCTCTGGCGCGCACCAACTTCTACAGCTTCCTCGTGTTCATCGTGTTCTGGCTGCCGTTCGGCGTGGTCTTCACGTACGGCACCACGAAGATCATCCCCGACTCACGCGTACTGTACAACACGGCGTGGTTCGGGCTGAGCAAGTCCTGCATCCACAACGCGATCTATTGCCTCACGAACCGCCACTTCCGCAGCGCCTACGTGAGCCTCTTTCACTACTGCTGCTGCAAGACTACCGTGTCCACGGCCAGGCGCACGCGAACAGACGGCGCGCGCCCCACGGCGGACGTGCGCGTGCACATCATCCCCGGCTACAACATGTACTCCTACACCAGCCCGATGCGCAACTCCGGCAACAACTACCACTGGTATTGGGGTAAGCGCACGGCGCACCAGGAGTTATGATAAAGCGACCAGACCTAAGCATGCCCCGCTTTTCCCTACACTCTGCCGATCGCCCGCGGAAGGAGCGCCGAAGGACTTCTCGATGTGATCATGGTAATTGTTTGGCGCACTTGAGCGTTAGTTTAGCTTTGGACATTCTATTACTTACCCAGCTTTAAAGAGCTTTACTCGATTCGCACAGAGAAATTGGGAAAGAAACGTAAGATTTACTAAACAGATTTTTATGCCTGAGAATAGCAGAGAAAATGATAAGGAATAGGCAGAGAAATATGCGTGGAAAACATCTAATTTTATTCCAGCCGTGATGTTTTTTTTAAACAGTTTAATTTAGGGAAAATATTGACAAGTTCTTTTTAATTATTTGTAGCATTTGCAGCTAAAATGCCTTCGCTCTTCGACGTTTCATGTTTAAAGTTTCATGCAATTCCGCATTCGATGCAATCAGTTGCGAGTCTTTTGATCATTTATTCACAGAATTTTATATGATTTCTCTGTCTTCTCGTTCTCACTGCTATTTCTTCAGGAACAAATGGGAATATTATCTGTCGTCTTACCTTGAATTTACTCTAAAAACAACGTAAGGAGAAAAGCTGTGCATCTTTGAAATATGGGAAAGAATCAATTTATCTAGCACTTAACATTTCTAGCTACTATAGATCCTACACATTTCGGCGTTTAGTGAAGAGAATTGCAACTATATTTCTCCGTCCTTGCTTTGGATCTGATGAATTTGGGCAAATTGTGCAAATTGCTATTCTAACTTCGTCCCCGCATCGCAAAAAGCTGCGACTTTCCGTGCGGTGGGCGAAATTCATCGGCAGAGTGTTTGCATCCCCCCAAATTATGTGTGCTTTCCCTTCGACTTTTGGGCGCGAGATGCGAAGTGTTTCAGCATAAGTGAATTATTCTTGGCACAAATTGTCCTCTCGCGAGCGCGAGAGCGTCTTTTTTCGGTTGGTGTGCGCGGCTAAAAATACTGGTGGGACAGATAAAGGCATTTATCGATGAGCTCAAACACCTGTTCTGAGTCACCCTGGCGCAGGGGGCGCGTGAACGGCGGGGAAATCCATATTTTAACCACTTTACATTGGAGGGCGCGAAGGAGGAATGAGGGAGGGGGCTGAAAAACCGCCCCATTTGCACCCCAAACCACCTCAAATTCCTCAATGTTGGGCACATTTGCATGCTCTGCGGCGATTGTGAGCTCTTCTTGTGCACGCGAAATCAGTGGAATATTAAAGGTGTGAAGCAGAAATTGGCCTAAAACATGTACAATGAAATTGCGTGAATTGCTTCGCAGATCATGGCCAAAAGCATCGAATTGAGTGGCGCGAGAAGAGTGACAATTGCCCGCCCAACACAGCCCCACATTATTACTTATAAAAATCACTCGAATGTCGTGGTAAACAAGTAAATATAATCGGTATTAGGTGTTTCTAGAGGAATATTTGTACATAAAATGCCTTTTATAATTAACTGTGATGTGAGAAATAAACATATTCATATTCAGATTTTGTCGTGGAGGGAAAAAGAGCGAGAGAGAAAGAGGAGCATTTGATGGCTGAAGACTATATACTTTTATATAATGATTTTTATTTTACTCTGGAACTTTTGGGAGGAGTGGCAGAGGGAAGAGGAATCTTTTTTACACGGGGAGAGATTACATAAATTGTGTACATGTTTTTTGGAGAAGATATTTTCCATTTATTTGAACTGGGGGACCATGTTGTTCAATTGCAAAACTACATGTAAATGTTAAATATGTGTGCTTTAAATGGATCAAGAGACAAACATTTTCCGACACACTTGGAGAGTCAATAAAGTTGTCTATATAAATGTGGAAAGAAAACATGTTTTTCTCCCCTTGAAATTGGCGGTGGCGAAAGCATTTCGTCGGCCGTTGAAAAGTCGTTCCGACTGTGTTGCGCGCTGTTTTCCGCCGCGCGGCGCCACCGTGAGGCTGGGAGAGCCGCGCGCGAAATGCGAGCGCGCTGAGAGGTTGGCAATCGTGCTGGAATCCCAGTCTCTCTCTGTCAGTGCTTGGAAAAAAACTTGGGGCTGTACAAAGTGTGGTGCATTAATAGAGAAATTGTGTACAAAATAGCTGATACTGTGTGATAACATGTTGCTGAGGCGCCGATGATGATGATGGAGTCAAGGTATTGAGTGGCAGTGCTGTGCAAGTGGGTCAATTTGGTGGTCAAAGTGCGGACCAACAGTCGCTGCACCGCTTCTTGCGGCCGCCATGTTGGAATGCGCGACTTGAGCGACGAAGAGCCCTGGAGTTGTGTCGCTCGCCAGGGTTTATTTACAAAACAAGGCGCCGCGAGAGCCGCCGCCGCCACCAAATCACCCCGCGAGTGCGCCCCTGCGCCCGTGCGCGCGCCCCCTCGCCCTGCCTGATGGCGTGTCTTTGTTTTCAGAGTGGAAACGCACACCTCAGTCGAGCGGGAGATGGAGAAGAAAAAAACCATCCCGTCGAAGTTCCACTGGCTCTCCACATGCATCTTCAAGGAGATCCGCGGCATCCTCAGCTCCGAGTGGGAGCAGAGCAAGCTCATCGGCTGCATGGACTTGTACTTGCGGTGAGTTGTTGTCGCGGGTGTGAATGCGAGGGGGCGGAGCCCTATTTTCACCCTCTCTCTCCACTCCGCAGTTGTGCCCGCGAGGAGGCCAGCAAGGGCAAGAAGAGCAACTTCGCCAAGATCCTGCCCAAGAACATGTATTTATTCAAGACTATGAACGCCAAATTTGGAGCAGTAAGTTGAGACCTCACACATCTTCCGTCTCTTTCCGCCGCGCTCTCATGCCACCTTCTTTTTTCCTTTGTGTGCCAGACGCCCGCGTATCTCAACAGGATCGCCAAGATGCTGCAACTGTACCTGGACACGGAGCTGCGGGCATCAATCCAGGGAATCATGTTCTACATGGACATCGCCAACAAGATATCGATGCAGATTGACGTGCATCTGAAGGTGAGCGTGTGTGCTTGACTTTGGACACGCCTCGCCCAGTGCAAACAACTCTCAAATTGTCTCTCTTTGCACTCTTTTCAGGGTCAGAACCCGAGTTACATACTCAGCGTGCTCATAACGTCGCAGAGATCGCAGAACAAGACTCACCGCCTCGTCCTGGACCTCCTCTACGGGTGAGTCTCACTTTCTCCTCTGTCGCGCGTGCTCTGGGATTCCGGCCGGCCGCGGGGAGGAATTTGGGTCATGCCACTGTGTATACATCCGCGAGAGAGCGGCGAATGAGTCCAAACGGCGGCCAAAGTGAAATGTGACCCCAAAATCCGCCATTTTGAACACCGCCAAAATTCTTCGGGCCGGAAACTGAACAATAATCATCACAATAACAATCCACGCTGAGCTTCTCGTCGCAACACAGGATACATTGAAGACTGAAATTAATCCTAATGCTATTCCGCTTCCCCCCCATTCTTCCCACTTTTTGGGGGAACTTTGTGTAAACATTGACATCCAAATAGCATTTATTTATCAAACAGTGTTTGTCGAAAATATTGAGAATTTTATACTTGGTTCATTGAACGCTCGAGAGCGTGAGAATGAAGATTATGGAGATGATTGAATGAAAATCGCATTGATTATGTAATTAAATGTTACAGTAAAAGCGAGACAAGCAACGTTTGATGCATAACACCTGAAGAAATCTCAAGATTATCCAAACTTTTGAGGCACAATAATGATTTCTGCATTCTGTGGAAATGATAAAAAAAATGTGACCAAAAAGTCAGCGATTTAATAGCGATGAATTAACATGATTATTTATGGCATTCCAAATAATTTTCACATTCATTCAATGAAAATAATTGACTTAATTTGCTGTGCAGCAAGTAATGTATGCAAAAAATGACCTCTTCAATTGCCTCGCAAGAATATAGTCTGTGTCAAATGACAGAGCGGAATTCTCACCTTCTTGAGAATAAAAATAAAAATAGAGGAAGCGTTTTAATGTCACATAATGAGTTCAACTAAACAAGAATATCTTACATTGCAAATATTAAGTGAGATAGTGAAATCACTGCAAATAGACGATGTGGCATTTTGAGTCACAACAGCGGATCTGTGATTTATTCTGCAATTTCTGCTGACTATTCATTTAGGATTTGTAGTGCAATTTTCACATTTCAATTCTCTGGTTTCTTGAGTATGTTTAGCGGCGCTACAAATTGGCGATGAGGAGAGACTCGAAAGAATAAAGCAAAGATGCTTAATTGACTGTTCTTTGTACGCAAAATATCTCAGCATGGGGGAAAATTGTTTAGTTTTTTCAATTGTTAGGCGGAATTTCATTGAAATTCATTACTTACAAAATATTGAGCATGAGAATTGAGTGCAAAACCTGCCAAATATGTTTTATTGTCGTTTCCATTCTTCTCAATTCAATAACGTATCAATTTTTGCCATTCCTTCTGATGAATGACGCCCAATTTCACCTTCCAGACCAAATTCAGGGGTCCTGGATTGTTCGCATTCATGTGTGAACCACATGTTGTGATTCACATAAAAGTCCCTTCTCGGGGATTATGTTTGGACATTGTTGTACACTTGAATGCAGACTCTGAACACATAATTATCCTGGAATTCCCAAGGACTCCTTGGCGGCTTGTTAACTTCCCCGCATGACGTCCACGTGGTTTGCAGTGTTGTGCGTGTTCTTGTGGAAAAATATTGCCTCGCCAGTCGATGGCAATTCGAATAATAATGCATTCTGACCCCTGCGATTGGCGACCACCCGTGGAGCGCGTCTGACAATGGGGCTTTGCGCCGAAATCCCGATTAGTCGCGACAGCGCGAACAGAGAAGAGAAGATAGTGGAGATGAAATGGGGTTTTGTCACATTCTTCGTGATGCCCTGGAAAAAATCCCAGAGCTCGCATATATAAACTAAGTAGAGCGTGAGGCTTAGTCGTCTTTCCTTCCCCCATTTTTGCGCCAGTGATGATTTTAGTAAAAGGTCTGACGTGCGAATGTTGAGTCGGCGCGAGAAGTTGGACAAAAATTTCTCCAGCCAGAATTCCATTGGCATGCATGATAAAGAAAAACATGTGTTGAGGCGCCATTTCTTCAGCATCAATATATCTGTGTGTGTTTGTGGATTGCAATTTCCTTCAATTATCTCTACGTAATGTTTGTTTTCTTTCTCTCTTTTTGTGCTTTGCAGAAAATACTTGACTGTGCATAAATATGCGGTGAATAAGACGGAATTGCCGGACAAGTTGATGCTGATGTACATCATTGGGTACAAACAGTGGGTGAATCTGTTTCTCGATGACAAACCAAAGGTCTTGGAGATCATGAAGAAATTCACGATGTTCAAGCCGAGGGAAAGCTTTAAGTGAGTGGCGTTTTTTTCTTGTGCTTTCATGGATGTTTCGATAGTAATTTGTGTGGTGTTTCGACAGGAATAATCCGAAGATTCCGGAATCGCTGAGGATGGTTTTATCGGAGAGTGGACTCGTGAAGGAACTGCTGACGACGAGCGAGAAGGTTGATGACCTCAAGAAGGTAATTGAGGGCTTGCTGGTGAATCTCATTGCAATTCATGATGTTTCTGGGTTGTCTCTTGCAGTCGCTGAACAGTTATTTGGACGAGGATAACCACGAAGAGGAGGATTACCTCACGGATATGACCGTAAATCTTACTTTCTGCCTTGCCTTCACTGGAGAACGTGACTAATTTGTGATTTCTCTCTCTGCAGTTGCTCTCAATCGGCGATTCGCAGGATGCCAGCTCGTCTTCGGCGGCGGATGAGCAGTGTTTCTCTCTCTCCATGACACTGCCGACGGAGAGTGTGCCCGTGCCGCTGGCCAGGAGCGCCATGCTGAGTGTGGTGAAGCAGGAGGAGCCGCAGACACTGTCAGTGATTGATCTCACGGAGGAGAGTATGTCTCCGCAGCCGCTGCAGTGGCTGCAGAAGCTGGCGCGGCGGGCACGCGATGCGCAGGATGTGGTGCTGCGATGTCCGGTATCCAGCGGGAGCAGCGTGGTGATTTGCCTGTCGGACTCTGACAGCGACGGGCACGAGGAGGGCGGCAGCGGCGGCGCCGCAGCTCAAGAGGCGGAGGGCGGTGAGGCGCCGTCGGTCACGACGGTGGCGGCGGAGAGTGAAGTGCCGCGCGAGGCGAACTACGCGGCGGAGAACATGATGCAGTGGCAGGAGGGTGGCAGTGGTAGTCGCGAGAGTCCCATCAGTGTGATGGCGAAGAATCGCGAGATGCTGGACAGCATCACGTCGAATCTGGACGAGGTGCCGTCGCTGAACAAGACGCCGCCGCAGAAGATGGCGGAGAAGGGCAGTCTGACGTCTGGTTTGGGGACAAAGAGTGCCATAAAGTTCGGTGTGCGAGACGATCTGGTGGGATCGAGTTTGAGGAAGGTGACACCCCCGGAGAGTGTGAGCGAGACGCCGTCCATCTGCACCACGGACGACAATTCCCTGAGTGGTGGTGTTGAGGACTCGCAGAACTCGGTGGACAACTATCCCATCTTCAATGAGATCCACATGGTGGAGCGCAGCGGCGAGGCGGACGAGCGTGTAGCGGACATGGAGGCGCCACCACCACAGTCGAGCATCTTCCAGGATCATCATGCGAATTACTTTTGCGATGACCTGGAGGAGGGTTGTCACATTCTTCGGGGTGCTGATCCCAAAGTGGCCGACAAGCGGCGCAGGCAGTCGACTGATGTGCGGGAACAGGAGAATATTGTGTTTAGTGTGCCGCCGCTGGCGCGACGGCCGATCGCCGCCGCCACTGAGGACGATCCGGCGACCACCACGAGCAGTAACCTTCCAATGCCACCAGATAGGATCCTCTTTACAACGGGTAAGACCACAAAGTCGCACAGTGATGAGAGTGTCAACAATTCTGTGCGTGACATTTTGGCGGACTTCTCAGATGTGGATGAGACGCCCACAGCTGAGGATGGGCAGAATGTGTCTGAAGAAGAAGAAGATGATGATGATGATGAAGATGATGATGACGATGATGAGCCAGATATAGAATCGCCGTTGATGGAGACTATTGAGAAGCACGAATTGGCGGAGTTCATGGAAATGTGCGACAATAGTGGGCAGCAAACGCGCGAATATAGATCTCCCGAGGGCACAAAGTCATCATCTGTTCATTTAGAGCGCTCCGCGTCGAAGGAGAAGGAGAGCGGCAAGGAGAAGGAGAAGGAGGTGGGCAAGGAGAAGAAGAAGAGAGTGCATTTCGGCACGGCCAAGTACATGAAGCCCAATGATGTGCCGCAACAGAGAATGTTCTTAGACTATTTGGATGGCATGAGTCCGCGAAAGTCCATACTGAAGCCCTCGCCCAAGCCCGCGCTGCAGAGTGGCGCGAGTGTGGCGGCCGCCGTCGCGAGTGGTGCGACTGATGTGAAGAGTTTTGGCAATTTCAAGGAGGCCACAAAGGCTTCGCAGAGCAATATCATGGTGAAGAGGTCTTATCTGTCGCCAGATATGCTGCCGCTGAGTCAGACGACAAAGGCGAGCAGCGTGCAAGCGTCGCTGGAGACGGACATCGGGGCGTCACCGTTGTTGTCGTCGTCAACGGAGTCAGTTGCAGGTACAAAAACTATAAATTCTTTTAGCCATAGGTCGGAAGTTTGGTCAGTGGGTGGGAATTCGTATGACACGGTCTCATCCTCGTCCAATATCCCACATTTGCATGGTGACTTCAATGAGGCACACGGTAGTAGTCCCGTTCCGCAACTATCAGACGTTGGGCCACAGCAAATGTGTGGAAATTTGGTGGATGGCGATAGATTGAGTAAGAACATTTCCCCAGTTGAGAGTAAGGGCGTGAAGGAGGCGGATTCGACGTCACCTGAGCGCGCGTGTGAGCACATGTACGTGCTGCCGCTGAAGAAACGCAGCATTCCGACGCCGCCGGCGCCAGAGGTGCCCGTGGAGTATTGTCCGGCGCCAGAAGTGGCGCCGGTGAAGTATGTTCCTGCACCAGAGGTGCCCGTGGAGTACGCTCCGGCGCCGGATGTGCCGGTGGAGTATGCGATATGCTATCCGCCGAAGCGGATGCTCAGCATACTTGAGCTGCCGCCGAGTGAGGTGTCGCTCAGGATACTCAAGGTGCCGCGCAATGAGCCGTCGCGGAGGCACAAGACGCCGGCGGAGCGGAAGCACATCACACCAGTGCAGACACTGAATTTCTCACCTCAACGCATCCCAACATCAACAATTGCCGGAACTGGGCAACTGCAAACATTCACACCATTGCCACCATTCAACTACATTCAACCGTCGGCGCGCATTCAGCAAATCCGCACGCAACCCGATCTGTCCACCATCAATTTGGGCTTCAACATTGGCGCTGGATCGCCAACGGTGTCGGAATTGTCGGCACTGCCGACATTCAGTCTGACACAGAGTCACCCAGTGCAGCTGACGCAGAACTTCCACAGTGCACCGACGACGGGACTCACGTACACTCTGCAGCAGGCTGCATCGAGTTCCTCCTTTGACATTTCCCACCTTGAATTGCAGAATATGATAGAGTTACAGGGATACCAGTATGGCCAGCCAAATGTCAGTACAATAGTCAGTCCGACGAATTTGGGGCCGGATTTGGCCTTTCAGGGCGTACAATTGACACAGGGAACACCTGTGCAGTACGCGGCGATCAATCAGTGGCAGAATCCATGTTCCTGCCACGGTGGATGTGCCAATTGTGATCAGAATCTCGTGGATTTCGGGAGATATAGTGGCACGACTGTCGGTGGTGGTAGCACAACGGGTGAGCTCACGACGTCGCGTCTTGAGCAGCACGCATCTGCCAATGCCAGCAAATGCGACAATGAGACATTCCAGAAGCACACAAGTATCAACATTAGGAAGCGCAGGCATGGAAACATGTAAGACATTGAATGCTGCGGCGTATCAATCTTCAATCAACTCAAAAAGCACACACAATCAATCAAATCATCTCTTCAATCAACAATATTTTGCCTGTTTATATTCTCGCTGTTGTGATTTTTATTTCTCGGTTTCTGTGTGACAAAATTCTAGAGTTAAGCGCGCGTCTTGTTTTTGTTTTTCTTATTGTTCAATAGTGTCTCGTCAAATCAACAGAATTCTTCAATCAACACATTCCGCAAAAATGTCTCAGCCAAAAGTAATGAGAGTAGCGAAAAGAAATTATAATGTAATTAAGTCCCTTACTCTTAAATGGGGAAAGTATGTTCACGATAATGTTCATAGGAGGTTTCTTTTTTTCTTTCTCTTTTTCTTTTCACAATACTGCTATTGAGTGGAGAATTAGGGTAATGTTTGTCTTTTACTTTTCACTTGCAGATCATCTGATAAGGGAGAGTTTGCTAAAGTCCCACGCGAGGCCGAATCAGATTCGTGTTCGCCGTGAATTTGATGAGCGACGGAAGAAGATGATCAAGCGGCGGAATTCGATAGCGGTGATGGCGTATTCGGAGGGTGATTTGGCGAATTCGCTGAGGAAGTCGCTGAACTTGGGCGGTGATGACGAGTGTCCGGGCAGTGTGGGTGTGTTGCCGACGGATCCGAAGCTGTACAAAGCTTATGTGCCACTTGTGAATATTGATAAGGTAGCAACAATAGTGCAGAGGACGCCGCCGCCGAGCGCAGTGGCGCCGGTGGAGAAGAAGAGGGGAAGGAAGAGGAAATCTGATGTACCTGATCCATCATATGTCGCTCCGATTAAGACATCACAGTCAATGGAGTTGTACACGGGCTTCACGCCCATCCGGCTCACCCGCTCGATGAGGCGGAAGATTATGGAGTTGGATCTCCACGATGAGGAATTGATACAGAAGCAATTGGAGCCGAAGCACAAGAAGCCACGGCGGCGGATGTCAACGTATGAATTGGTGGGCCCATCGCGATTTGAGATGGAGGAGAAGTGTATGTCACCAAATATTGTTCATAGTTTTAAGGCTGCGAGTGTATCGCCGCACGTTCCTAGTAGATTAAGTCAAGTGAGGAGCTCAATTGAAGAGAGAACAATCACAGTGTATGACGCAGATGTGCAGCAACAGATGGGACTTGATGAGAGCATCAACACAGTGGCAGATCTACCGATGGAGCAGAGCACGCCGATGCTGAAGGTGGAGATGAGTCAGGCGCGGGAGGTGGAAATGAAGGAGTCTGTTGATATTATGCCAGTGACCAAAGCTTCAAAGAAGGAAATCATTTCGCCGACATTGGAGAAGGTGGAGGATGTGTCAATGTCACCGCCAAAAGTGAAGCATTTAACGATCCCCAGTAGTGCAATTAAGGAGCACCAGGAGCTGCCACAGGAGAATTCAATGTCGACGCCTGTGCTGCAGCTGAAGCGTATGAAGAAGGAGGGCAAAAAGTCGTCGTCACCCGAATGGTCAATGTCATCGAATTGGGAATTGACGCGACTCACGCGCAAGACACTTAGCATTATTCACAAGGACAGGAAGTTGAGCAGGTTCAGGGCTGTTGTGTGCATTCGTCGACTGACGAGCTTCGATGTGACGCGAATAATTGCGTACATGTCGAACAATCCGATGGAGAATATTGAATTTCTCGTGACGAGTGGGCAATTTTTTCAAATGTACGCCTCGGAAAGGAGAACTGAGAGCACAATGGCCATTTGTGAGAGTAATGCACAGAGTACTTCGACGCCTGAGCGAGTGGCGGAGGATGTTGTGAGGCGAGAAGTGACACCGGAGAGAGATGTGATGGCGAATGATGCTACAAAGTCTGTTCCCGAAGGCACGGAGATTGTGGTGAACAATTCAGATAATGCGTTGGAAGACAGTGTGATGATGAATCACGAGCAGAGTTGTGAGAATGTGACGGAGAGCAGGATTGAGGTGTCGACAAAGGAGGACGAAGGGATTAAGGTGAAGATTTCGAAGCGTGGTAGGCGTTCGGAGGGAAAGCGCAAAGGTACACCGAGGCGATTGAAGAGTTCGCAGTTGTATCAGAAGATCCTGGAGGATGAGTCTGATGCGATGCAGCGTCTGGAGGTGAAGCCTTTGGCCGTGTTGTCGATTAATGAGGAGATTGGCAAGATGGCGAGTCCGGATTCGACATCCTCCCACGGGGAGGCGAACAAGAGTGTCGAGCAGCAGTTCCAACAGGGGAAATCCGTGTCGCCTGAGTATGTCAATTCCACCATCAGTTCAACAGTTAACACGGAGATCAGCTCCACCACGCAACTCTCGATGGTGTCGTCGAAGATGAAGGAGACGAGCAGCAGAGAGGACAAGTCGATATGCCATGGCGAGCAGAAGAGCAGCTTCAATGGGCCAATGCTGAGATCGACCAGCTGCATGATGCCCAGACACTCGAGTCCTCTGCCCAATGCCGAGGGTGTTTCATGTGACAGCCAAGGCGATTTGCTGGCGGAGTCAAAAAACGGCGCGAAGACGCCACAAAGCGAAAGCAAATGTGATAGTCAGATGGAGAACGGGCATTTAGGGCAATTGGATGAGGAGAAGTCGCCAAAAAACGATCAGGACACTTCAAATGTTGTCTCCAATGAGGAGTGTGAGGAGGAGGAAGTGGTGACAGAAGAGGGAGACGTGACGAAGGATCAGAGTGATCACGAGTGTGTCTTGAATGATGTTTCTGAGAATGACAATCAAAAGTGCGCCGCGACGGAGGAGAAATCAAATGAATCGCCGATGGGTTGTGATAGTCAAGTGGATGCTGAGGATGTGCCGGTGGAGCAGATGCAAGTGTGTGAGGAGGAGATTGTGCCCGAGGAGGAGAATGTGGAAGAGAAGGAAGCGAGTGAGGAGACGAGAGAAGTGGAGGAAAGTGCTCCGAAGGCGACAGAGATAGATTATGATGTGATGATAAAGAATACAACGGTGGAGAAGGAGATTTTCGAGCACACTTCACCAGCACCACCACAGCAGGATGATCAGGAGAACAGCAATCACTCGATAGACACTGAAGTGAGTGAGCAGAATGACAAGAGTTCGGAGGACAATGATGATGATCAGTCTGACACGTCGATAGACTTTCAGGATTTCGATACGGTGTCTGAGTTTAATGTCAGCTCGCCGTCTGAGTATGGCGATGCGATTGATGATAAAGATCAGGCGGCGGAGATTCTGGTGAAGTTGCCTGAGAAAGTGGCGAGTCCGGAGAAGTCTATTGATGATGAAATGATGCATTTTGATGCGAGTGAAGCTTTCCAAAACACATCAGATGTTGAGTCAGAGAATGACAACAATGAGGAAGAGGATGATGAGGATGAGGAGGAGGAGGAAAATGATCAGGATGAGGATGAAGAGAGTGGCAATGGCAATATGAATCCGGAAATGCACAATTTGTTCGAGAACATCTCGTCAATTGAATCCACCGAGCAGAATTACTTAGTCGACAATTGTCCACTGTTGGAGGCTGGCGATCATGCGGCGGCGCCGGCAGCGGTGAATGACGAGGAGAGTGGGAAGATTCCCTCGCCGGACAGCTCAAATATCCCGAAGTCCAACTCCAATCTCAACAGTGCGGCGGCCGAAGTGCCGAATGACGCCATGGATATTCACTGTGACGCCATGCCGGACACTTCGGTGAACTTCCTGCCGAGCGCCAGTGGAAATGATGTGGACAATGGTGGTCTGGAGATGGATGACGGGCTGTTCTCGTCGCCCATCTATGATCCTGAGTCGCTGGATGTGAATGCTGATGTGCAGGCGAACAAGTTCAATGGACAGATGACGGATCAGTTGATGTACACAGACAATCCATCCAATAATTTGCTCCTGGAGGCGGACAGTTCGGAGAACATTGGCCAGACGCTGGCGATTGATGATCTGGTGGAGGAGATGCCGAGTGATGACACGACACTGATCACGGAGGGTGACATCTTCGAGGGATACTGTGAGAATCTCACGAGTATTGGGGACAATGTGACGGTGGAGACGGAATCTGAGATTGTCACGGAGCCATTTGGCGAGGAGACGACGCGTCAGCCCGTGGACAATTCCACTGTGGACTTCTCGTCGGTGTTCAAGAGTTGTCTGCCCGAGATTGCGCCAGTGAGCACGAGCTTCGAGATTGGCGGCACACGGAAATCCTATCGGCAGCGCATAAAGTCCCACACAAATCTCTATGTGGAGCACGATTACTCACCAAAGACGGACACAAATCGCATCACGCCCACGTCGAGTGCGCCCAAGACGGGCGACAGGTACTTGTTGCCGCCGAAGAGCGACAGGATGAACAGGAGAAAGAGCTTCTATGGCGGCGACAGCAGGGATGGCAATAGGAATCGCTACAAGACATGGAATACTCCGACCAATACCACCAATTTCGCCTTGACTACCGTACAGCAGCCGCTGCCACCGGTGGTCAGTCTCAATGCACACGTGACGAAGCCTCTGGCGGAGCCGCCCAAGACTGTGCCGCCGGTGAAGACTTCTCTGGAGGACTCGCCGTCGGCTGCCGTGTCACCGTATTTGGAGGTGCACAACAATCTTCAGCAGCAGATCAAGAAGGATGGCAACACTCCGCTCTTTCCTCTCTCCTCAACCGTGTCGATCAATGGGGAGAATAGCAGCATCCGGAAGTTCCGACGGCCCAATCGCTCGCTAAATACGCCACCGCCGCCACAAGTGCCGCAAGTCACTCTGCCCGCGTATGAGCAGATAACGGCGTGCACAGCCGAGGCGCCGAAAGTTGTGGCGCCCGTGGCGGAGATCAAGACCTTCAGCATCATCCCGCCGACTCAGTCGATTGTCGCACTGGAGCCGATGACGCAGAAGCGGCCGACAACGCCGGCGTCCATTGAGATTCTCTCGAACAGAGTGATTCATCCGCGGCGCGACACCGGCACGCCGCTCTACCAGCCGACAATTGGGTATCAGCTGGTGCAATTCACCACCAGTGCGGCCATCACGAATCCCACGGACTTCTGTATCATCGCCACGACGGCGGTGCCGCAGGAGACGCTGCCGGTGCAGGCGACGTTTCCCAATCAGATCGTGAACGCCGGCCAGGCGGCGGACAAAGTGTTCCTCGCACAGACTGAGGAAATGCCACAATTTGAGGTGAACGAGGCGGAACTCGTTAGTGACTGTTTGCGCGAATTGAGGCAGTGAAGAAGAGATTATAGGGACAAGGAAGAAGAAGAATGAAAAAAACACCTCTCAAAACCATACTTAGAAACATAGACAGTGAAATTATTTAAAATACGTCATAGTGTTTTCGTTTCGTTTTTATTATTAGTTTAACAAACAGAGATTTTTATGTCTGACTTTATATTTTAAATATCGATATTGCATTGACTTTAACTGAAATCATGGTTAGAAAGTAAGAGAAAAATTATACATATATATATATCGTAGTGAAAGAATGAATGCTGAGACCATCAAAGTGGTTAGACATTGCAATACAGACAAATTGATAAGAGAGAATTGTGTGCATTTTTTATCGCTGTGATTCACCCACATTTTTTATCTTTGCATACCATTTTCACGTGTGGTTTTGTTTTGGCTCGCGCGATCTGGCGGAATTTGGGTGGGAAATAACACACTTCCGGCCACACTTTGCGAAATTGACCATGGATTGGGAGATATGCGAAATGGGCAGCGATACAGGACGCGCAGATGAATCAACTGGTTTCCTCATTTTAATCAAGGGGCGAACAACTGGCGAATGTCCACTTCTCATTTTTCAGGGCTCTCCGATGGATATCGTGGAAAAGTGATGAAAATTGTGTTTGATAAAGTGGTGATAAAAATCATCAACAAAGAGTGAAATTTAGAAGTTTAAAGGCTTTAAGCTTTCGAAATATTAAAGTGAATGATTAATATATTTAGTGTGTGAAAAAAAAATCACTATTTGTAACGGCAAATGAGTAAGTAAATATTTTACTAAAATGTTTTTCACATGGGCTTTAAGTTTTTCAATTTTCCCTGATAATTAAAAGATTGTTCGAATAGTATAAAATTAAATTTCGTTTATTTTCATTTATTTTGGAGATTCCTACAATTCAGTCTTTCTCACACAATTTTTTTTAAAGTTCTTTTACTCTTCATTATCACCAATACCGTTTGTATTTGCAAGTTACCTTGAGTTTTGGGAACTTTGGATTATTGAAATTATATATCGATTGATTATTGACCACGACAATTTGTAGAAATGTTGTCCTGTTGTGCATACTTGGCAAGATTCCGGGGATGAAATCATTCGTGATTCTAGAGCATCCGATGATGTTGAGAAGCTTCAGTGTTTGGCAATTGTTGATGAGTTCTACGAGGCCTTCATTCGTAACGGCTATGCAATACTCAAGGCTCAACTCTTCGAGGGTTTTTATGGCTCCCAACTGAACCAGATCACAATATCGAGGATAGCTGAAGCATCGGAATTGCAACGACTTCAACTTGCTGAAGGAAAGGAGATTCTGAACATCCGGAACTGGTCCGATATCTCTGAAACAGTGTATATGGAGCGACTCAAGCACATTCCGTTTTCCCAGTTTCTCCATCAATAAATCAACATCGAAGTCAGCCCGGATATCTATCATCAGATGCTTCAAACGAGGCAAGCTTGCGATTAACGTGAAAGCATCCTTTTCAGTGTTCGCCCAGATGGTGATCTTGAGCGTCTCCAAGCTCGTACTATATCTTGAAATCGCTTGATGATACCGGTAATATCGTGCGGAACTCGCAAAATTACTGCCATTTATGCTGAGGCTCTTCAGTCCCTCATTGTTTTGGAGAAATTGTATAAGGAAGCACTCTGTAATTATTCTGCAGTGACTCAGATCAATCGACTTAATGTTTTTCAATTCAGTCAGCCAATATCCTTGGATACTAGCATTAAGAGACACTCTGAGTGATTCTAATTGCGTCGCTTGGCGCAAACACACCTCAAGAATATTATCAGTCAGACCGCAATCCTTAAAATCGGCCACTTTGACATTCCCAAAAGCCCGGAATAAGTTGTCAAGGCAGTCAGCCTTTCTGAGAGAGAATCTCACGAGGTACAGTTTCCTCAAATTGCTGCACTTACCCAATATACTCAGGAGAGTTTCAATTGGGCTGGCGAATTTACATCCATACACCGTTAAGGAATGCATTCTCGGATTCAATCTCTTCACAATATCTTGCACATCCGCTAGTATGACCTTCTCGTGATCATGAGGATGCTGGAAAGATGTGTGACAGCGAAGTTGAAGCATGCGTCGAGTTCTGTAAGCAATCTCAGCCACGAACTTGAACCTTTCGCAAGCGTCCTCCGCTGTCATCAACTGCCAGATGTTCAGGTAAGAGAAGATTATCAAGAGACAATCGTCATTGAGCTCTAGGATTGACAGTCTCTTCTCATCATTCTGTTCCTCGTCACTTTCCACAGCATGATCTTCAAGACGCATCTTCTTGTTGCACTGCAAGGCATCCATGTTTTCTTTTTTAGGCGAATTATCTGTGAAAAATACATTATTGTTACAATACTGAGAATTGCTTTGGATCGTGAATCAGAACAAGTGCCTATTGAGTCTATTCAGAATGCTTGTGCAATATGATCTCAGAAAACTGTAGATATTTATAAATATTCGCAAGAATACTTACAGAAGCTGAGCAATATATCTTGTTGTCTTCACAATCCACGATGCACGCCTTCTTTCCGACTGTCACCGCTGTCACTGTGCCGAAAAGATTGACCGAAGAGGTCGCATCGCAATGAACTATGCACCGAACGCACCGGCTTCGTACAAGTAAAGTGCACGCATTCTATGTCTTTTAAATTAAGATATGAAACTGCAATAATAAAAGCGTCATATCAAATCTAGAAAATAATGGTTTGTTGCGCTTTTTTACACATCTTCTTTGCCTCGCTCTTTGCTCTCTATGATTTTTTAACAACTAATGAAGTTGCCAATTAGGTTCAATAACATTTTTACTGATGTTCATCTAATAATCCGCGATATTATTACGCCAAATTCCAAAATTGATAATATAGAATACAATTCATGTATATTGATGGAGAAGAATAAATAGTAAAACAAACATGGTAGACTCTCTTCGCAGTCAATTTCACTATCTGTCTAGACTCAGTAGTTGCTGGCCTCTTGAATATTCGCGATGTCGTGGAGCGAAGAGCAATTCGTGTGGCTTGTGTGGTTTTACCTGACTTCCAGACGAAAAGTGTGGGCCTCGTGAATTATTAACAAGTGCGCGGTGAGTGTAATTTACAAGAGTTTATCAATTGTTGCGCTGCCTCCGTGGGCATAATCATATCACTTTCATCTGTAATTCATTTGTGTAATTGTAATGAGAGTGTTTCCGTGAAAAGAAGTCCTTCAAATTGATATTTCTATTGGGTGATTGTGGGCGGTTGCGGAGCATCTAAATTTAAATTCGGCGTCAGGGAATTTGTGCTGATTGCCCACAATCGCACCTTGGAGCTTTGGTGCGCTTGGCGATAAGAAGGCGCGCACACGGGAGTGAGAGAGAGTCCAAAGGAGGGCCTAATCTTCCAGTGGCACTCTCGTACGGAATATCAGGGAGAATGATTTATATTTTTAATAATTCCAGCCCCTGTGACATGAATTAATTGATAGGGCGCAGCGGACGGGGGAAAGTGATATTGGGTAATATCTCGTGTGTGAGGCAAGGAATCAAAAACGAAGTTTATCGATGTGAAACAATCAGAGGAGAAGTGATATGATTGGCATGAGCGGAGGAGATTGAGTGGCGACGGAACTGTGGTGGCCAGTGTGGAGATTCGAGTGCTGTGGACAAGGTGTAAATCGGTCGCTTCTTCAGCACTTCTCGCGTTGGTAAAACAATGGATAGATCGCTGATTTGTATAATAGTGTTCACGGTGATTGGCTTCGTCCTGTTCCTCCTGGGCGTGATCCTCGGCTGGGCAGTCTTTCCGCCACTCGTGCGCCAGCAGATTATCGACGTGAGTTCACGCTTACCTTCAACGCCTATTCGCAATGTCCTCAAGACCTGTATAATCAGTCTAGCTCTACTCTTCGCTGCGCATATCAAACTGCAGAGTCCACCAATTTATCTTGCTTGATTTCCCCCCTGAAATACACCGCTAATTTCGCTGTCTCTTCCACGGTTTCTTCTATCTTATCGTGGACTGCCTGTGTTTTTTTTGGTATTCGTTCTCCTCCACCCAGATCGATATTCACATATTTAGTGGGTGTCAATGAGGCGAAAATCTCTTATTTATTAGATGCGATATCTGATTATAAAAGCCCCCCTTTGGTGGAGCGGCGCATTTTATCATCGAATTTCCCGCGCGAAGATAGCGACTGATGGACAGTTTTCTCTCTGCAGAATGTTGTTCTCAAGGAGGGAACGGATCAATTCGACAGATTCCTGGAATTACCACAGCCACTGCACTTCAAAGTATACATCTTCAATGTGACAAATCCCGAGGAGGTGATGAACAACGGAGCTTTGCCAGTCGTGCAAGAAGTTGGGCCATATTATTATCGGTTGGTTTGCGCGATTTGCAGCTAAAGACGACACTTATTCACACCATTTCTTGCAGACAATATCGTCGGAAGCACGATGTTGTGCTCTCGGGTGATGATCGAAACATCACCTTCGTGCAGGAGTCAGAATTTCAGTACGACCATCGTCGATCTGCTCCTCTCTCACAGGACGATCCCATTTTCGTTTTGAGTCTGCATATCAATGTGAGTATTTTATCTGATTGTACGCATTAATATACTCAGTAACGGGCGTAGAAATGGAAATTCCTGGAGTAATGTTGATGATTTTATTGTTCACAAGAACATAAAAGTATATTTAACTTCCTCAGAACCTTCAAAACCACAGTATTAATTGCTTGACTGTTTTTTTTGTAATCTCTGAGTCATTGAAAAGCCATAATATATGAAGCAATAAGTGAAGTAAAGCTGAAAATTTCTCCACTTATTCAGTTCAGTAGCACTTTTGATGCTTATTCGCAATCTTCAACTCGACTTGTGAGTGACTTTAACGGAATTTCAACATTAATATCAATTTTTTCACAAATGTTGTCGTTAATCAATGCAAAATTCACTGGCAAATTTCATAAAGACCAACCTTGCAAACTCTGGTCTATTTTTACGTCCGCTACTGTAAATAATTTCAATCAATTCAAATCAACTGAAAGTTGGCAATTTTACCATGCAAATCAAAAGTCGATATTTCTAATGACTGTGAGGAACATAAAAAGAGCCTCCAAGAGAGTTTCACGCCGAATCCAACGGATGATGAAAAGAATGCCCGTGTTAAGCGTTATCAATCGCTTCGCCAGAAATGCTGTACGATTTCTTTATCTCTGGCCATTTCATGAGTGTTGCACTTGAAACTGTGTCGCACTTCTCTTCACACCCGGAATGCATGTAATCATTAAGTGCTGTGTCAATTATGTGAAGAGTAGCGATGTTTCTGTAATTACACTTGCTCTTGTCCCTTCAGTCCGTGCTGCTGGAAGTGGAGTCCACGATGGAGATAATGCTTGAGACTATCAATCAAGCGGTGGATTTCATCTTCGGCCCGAATTCCTCCATGATCATGAGGACAACGCCGCGCCAATTCCTCTTCGAGGGCATCGAATTCTGCTGGCCAGGAGTACATCCGCTGTCGGACATCGTGTGCAATATCGTGAAACAGCAAATGACGGACGCAATGCAGATTCTGCCCGATGGAACGCTGTCCTTCGCCATGTTTCGTCATGTAAGCTTTTCCAAGGGGGAGATAACATGGTTTTACGTCTCTCTTACGAGGAGGATTAATTTGCCGCATTTTGCAGAAAAACATGACCAACAACGGCGTCTTCAAAGTCCACTCCGGCGTGGAGGAGCCGCGAGATACTCAGCAGATCATCACATGGCAGGGCAAGACGGATAACGATGTTTGGCCGGACAATGAAGACAACACGTCGTCGGTGTGCAACATGATTCGCGGCAGCGACGGCGCTGCTTTCAGGCCTCTCCAGGAGACCGGAGAGACTGCCTTCATCTTCAACACAGACATCTGCCGGTGAGTCGCTCTGCGCAAGCCAATCATCGTATCAATTAGCGAGTCAATTAATCAATCAGCCAAGACAAATGGCTTAAGATACCTTCGCCTTTTGTGTGGCTTCCCAAGTGGCGAAGTTCAAAGTCGCGTGGCACTTCCGGTAGCTGACTGGCTGACGTCCCATTTCAGAACAGTGCAGCTGGAGTTCAACGGCGAGGCAGAGTACGAAGGCATCCCGGGCTTCAAGTATGCCGCCTCGCCGTACTTCCTGGACCAAATTGGGCCGGAATACAACAACTCCTGCTTCTGCGTCAACCAGATTCCCGGCGGAATCGTGCAGGAGAACGGATGCCTCTATCCAGGAGCACTGGACCTGAGCCCCTGCCAAGGTGAGTCTCTTTCTCTCTTCTCGACGGTCGTTAATCTCTTTAATGCGCTCGTTAAGCGCTGGACATCAATTTTATGAGTGGAGTTTGGGAAGATGAGCGAAAAAGCGCTGGTCAAAGTTGACCCCAGAATCAATTAACATTCGACGCTCTATCGCGTGCTGAAATAAATGTCGATCGTCTAAGAAAGGATCAGTGGAAAATAAACCACTTCCCAATAAGAGAATTACGCAAATTCCGACAGACAAAACCGTGTAGAATGATTTCTGTCCATTTGAGTCACAATAACGATCCATTGGAATTAATTTTTGTGTGTGAGGAAGTGTGCGATTGTCTCCCCAAAATGGATGGTGTTGTTCTTTGTATATGGGCAAAAAAACCTTTGCATTTTACAGCCGATGGATAAATCTACCCGTCGATATCTCGTTTACCTTCATGAGACGCGGGCAGGTGAAAAGATGTGTTTTTTTCCCACCAGCCGAAAGAAACCGCAAACGAGATGATTGAATGAATGAGGAAGATGAGTCAAAGCCTGAGTTAAATGAGTCGCACGCGACAATGCGAGATAAATTCGCCGAATGATTGGTGACTGATAAAGATCCGAACTGTGATAGTGACCTCTCGGTTTTTGTGCTGCGCTGCTGCAAAGTGTCTATAATATTGATATTCTGTTGTTGATTTTCAATAAAAATCATGGAATTATTGCTGCAGTATAGCAATAAATAAGAGAATCTCGTTGCGTGCCAAGTGACCTAAGAAATTTTGCGCTTAGAATAACGTCTCCGCAGTGAGATACACAAAAAACTGGTTTCACCTGTCTCCAGGTGATTTATGCGGCGAAGATCGTGTGTGTGACTCTGAGGAAGCAAGGCGCGAAGTCTCGATTTCCCTTCGGGAAGTGTTGAGTGGAATATTTGAGAAATCCAGGGATATCTAGCGTGACTAATAGAGCTATTATGATCCTTGATTTTGAATAAATTATCTTCAATACCCTGTCATTTATCCTACTGACGATGTCGCCAAACGGAAGGAGAAGATCCTGCCATTAGGAAGCGTTGCCAATTTCTGTTTTCTTCATTAAAAGCGACAGAATTCCAACAGTACAATGATCCACAGAATCGACGAGCCTTGGCTTCGCAGCAATAATTCCCAAGATTTGGAATATTAGTCGGAAGATTGGCCAGACAGGTGTATTTTTCGTGCACATTTGCGTCTGTGTGGCTTCGATTGGAGTGGGAGAAGATCAATAAGCGAGAGTGGATGTCGTTGATTCCGCAGGAGACCCAAAAGATAGAGAATCTCTGTATAAAAGTGAATTCTCTCACGCGATTGAGGCTCAGTTGATGTGTGAAAAGTGTCTGGGCAGCATCGCGCCATCTCAAGTTCTCCAGTGTTGGCGGGAAAACTGTGCGCAAATCGGAAGCAGGAAGTGAGAGATGGTCAGGGTTGCCCATGTGATCTTCGCAGTGCTCCTTGTGGGCAGTGGCGAGACGAGAGTGTACGATCGCTGTGAATTGGCGCTGGAGCTGCGCCACAGGCACGAGATTGCCAGTGATGCGGAAGTGGCGACGTGGGTGTGCATCGCCCAGCACCAGTCCTCTCTCAATACGGCCGCCGTGGGGCGCCAGGCGGACGGCCGGGGGTACCACGGGCTGCTACAGATCAGCGACGAGTTCTGGTGCTCGCCATTCAGCCAGGGCAAGGCGTGCGGGATGCAGTGCTCACGCTTCATGGATGACGACATCACGGACGATCTGCACTGCTCGCGGATCATCCAGGAGGAGCACCAGCGCCTGTCGGGAGACGGCTTCAATGCGTGGACAGTGTACAAGAGTCACTGCAGCGCCGGAAGAGCGCTTCCCTACATTCACGGATGCTTCGACAACTACATCGCTCACGAGGATTACTCCAGTGTGCCAACAGTCACGCGTCCTGCGTACACACCGAGTGAAGGTATAGACTTGACCGTTTTCGAGCTTAGCTTCTCTCCTCTCACGATGTTGTTCTTGCGCAGTGTTCCGGCCGCGGAAGATCAAGTCGCGCGCCAAAATCTACGATCGCTGCGAATTGGCGCAAGAACTCGTCTATCGGCATCATATCCCAATTGAGGAAGTGGCGACGTGGGTGTGCATCGCGCAGCACGAGTCCAACTTCAACACTTCCGCCGTGGGTCATTTGAACGCCGATGGAAGCGGTGATCACGGTCTGTTTCAGATCAGCGACATTTACTGGTGCTCGCCGCCTGGCAAGGGCTGGGTTTGTGGCCTGTCGTGTGCCCAGCTCGAGGATGACGACATCAGTGACGACGTTAAGTGCATGAGGAAGATCTATGCTGAGCACCAGCGATTGTCTGGCGATGGATTCAACGCGTGGGCAGTGTACAGACCGCACTGCAGCGGCAGAGCCTCGAAGTACATCGAGGGCTGCTTCACGGAGGACGAGGACCAGGAGAATATCATTCAGCCAGTGCCGGGAATTGTAGCTCCTGTCCAGCCACCCAAATTCACAGCCACACCGGCGGTGCGAAGGCGGGGAAAGATCTACGATCGCTGCGAATTGGCGCACGAGTTGCTCCACATTCACGCCATGCCCAGGCATCAGATCGCCACGTGGGTGTGCATCGCGCAGCACGAGTCGAGTTTCAACACGGCCGCAGTGGGGCGTCTGAATGGCGATGGCAGCGCCGATCACGGGCTGTTCCAGATCAGCGATCTCTACTGGTGCTCGCCGCCCGGCAACGGTCTCGGCTGTGGCATCAATTGCGATCTCCTGGAGGACGATGACATTACAGACGACGTGGAGTGTGTCAAGCGGATACACAAGGAGCACACAAGGATATCTGGGAACGGTTTCACAGCCTGGACTGTGTACAATCGCGACTGCTTAGGCAATGTTGAGAAATACATCGAAGGATGCTTCCCAGAAGACACAATTCCAACCACAACAGCAACAGAGAAGATAACAACGAAGAAGTTTGCAACGGAGAAATTAACGACTAAAAAAGTGTTTCAATTCAGCTTCGGCGAGAGCGTCACAAGGAAAGAGATTCCTAGTACAGAACCTCCCAAGACGCGAAGGACATTCGCGTACAGATTCGGTGATAAAGTCGATAGAGAATCAACAACTACTGCAATTCCTAAAGCAGATGTTACTATTGCCAGCTTTCTTAGCCCAGAAACCACAACTTCTAGGGTTTTCTCTTTTAGTTTCACCGATAGAACATCAACCACCGAAGCTCCGACAAAAGAATATGCAGTGAAGAAAACGCAGCCATTTAACATCTTTGATTTCTACCTCAATTACTTCAAAGCCAATCGCAAGACCACAAAAAAGCCCACAACTGAAGCCATGACAGAAGCGACCACGGAAATTCCCGCAGAAACTACAACCACGCGAAAGCCCAGCGTCTTCGACATCTACCTTCGAAGGACCACAGCATCGCCCAAGAGGACGACTTTCTTCGCCAACTCACTGCCAACAGTGAAGCCCTTCGAGCTGGACTACATCAAGGCGCTCACGACGCCCAAGAACATCATCTCGAGATCAGCTCAAGATCCGCCGTCCACCAAATCGCCGCAGCGCAATCACTTCGACAGCATCTTCGACACATTCTTCCACGGATAGAAGCGCGGTCGGCCGCAAGAATGCCGGACGCGTGCTGGCGTCGAAAAAAGCCGTGACGTCACAGCGACTATGTTTTCATAGTTAATTATGTTGGACAAGAAACCAAACAACTCCAGCGACACTTGTTGTCTGGGGGATCAAGTGTAAACAGTGGACTTTTTGCGCCCAAGCGCGGGGCAATTTATCAAAGTCTCAAGTGGATTGACCCTTGGGATTTCTGCATTTTTTGCACCAGCACACCTTCGCGCAGTAGCTCGTATACGATAAAGACAGAACTTGCCGGCATTATGTGTTCTCCCGTGAGTGGCTCCCAATGAGGCGCGGTGCGATTAAGTGGACAGAAGAGACTTAATTTATGAGAGCTGTGTGAGAGACGAATTAAACACGAATAAAAGACTTGAAAACATTCTGCTGTTGTCTTATCTCCTTATGGATTTGCTGTCTTATTTGCCTAGCCTTGAGTCTCGAGTTTGGCAGAAGAAATGGAGCAAAACTATAACATTTGAAATCGAACGTTTTTGCTTCACAGCGAAATGAATGCTTCAGTTTTTTTCAGTTTATCTATAGAAAATGCTTGAATTCCAGAGACAGAAGAATTGATAAAATCGATAAAATGTTTTGTGACAAAACAGTGACTAATTTTGGCCTCTTTTTTGGCAGTTAAAATGTAATTTAAAAGCATGTATTTCGTCGGATAATTTTCATATAAAGTCCATATTATTTTACAAAATATTGATGTAAATTGTGGAATACTTTAACGACTGTCAAGGGTTAACATTGCCTCTCTCTTAACATAAGAGATCGCCTTTCACCTTCTCGTTTTTGCTGTTCGCAGGAGCTCCTCTGGTGCTGACCAAGCCTCATCTCCTCGGGGCTGATCACTATCAGCAGTTTGTCCACGGGTTGTCCCCGGATCCGGACAAGCATCAGATCGACGTCCTCGTGGAGCCGGCAAGTGCTTTTTACCCTCCTTAATCACTTAATCCAATTATTAATTGCCCATCGTGTGGATTTTTGCAGCACTTGGGAATTCCTTTGCGGGCCAACAGCCGAGTGCAGTTCAACCAGTTCCTGCGGCCGATTCCGCACATCACAATCACGCAGCAGCTCGCGCAGTCTTTCGTGCCCATTCTCTGGGTGGATGAGGTGAGATCCCAAAGATAGAATCCTGAGATTATGGCTTGACTCGGGTGTAAATTACGTCCTTTGCAGGGAATCGCTCTCGGCGAGGACTTGGTGGATATGATCAGGTCGGATCTCGTGGATGTTCTCGTCATCCTGGACGCCGTGCATTGGACTCTCTTCGCCGTGGGCTTGGCTCTGTTCGTGGCCATGCTGACATGGCTGATTGTGGCGCTGGTGAAGCGCCGCGGCAAGACTCAAGTGGGCAGTTTTAGTCCCAAGACAATGTGAACAGCTGTGAATGTTTTGAGGGTGTTTCGTGTGATGAACAATAAATTTTTGGCGGGAAAATTTCTCTGTGTAATTCCTCCGGAAGGCAGGCAAAAGTGCGTCTGCGCGGGTGTGAAGCAACTTTTCCCACCACACAATCTCTCTATTTCACACAGAGTCGCGCTGGAATGATGATAAACGCCGCGATATCTCGCTCGTTCATACACCTTTTTGGCTGTGCACGTGAGACTGTTAATTCGACAATTAAAGGTAATTACTTGCACCAATTCCCACTCAGTCGCACTTCTGCTGACGGAGAGTGAACTTCTGTCTCGTGTGCTGCGCGAGTCGATGGGGAAAAGTGCATAAGATCATTGTGAGTCTCCACGATGAGCCGTGACAATATCATTGGAGTCACATCAGAGGAGGATCTGCTGGAGGGTGAGTTCTTGCCGTGAATTTCCGGTGGATTTGCAACATTTTAAGGCGGATTTGGTGTCGCCATTAGCTGAGATAAGACAATAATATTTCTTGTCTAAAGCCCACTTATTGAGTGCCTTTATCGGGATCTTTCAAACAGTGCAGAATCAATATAAACTGAACTCACAGTCTTCCTCATATTCCACTTTATCGCAACCTTCTCTTTCACTTTCAATTGTATTCCCCAAGTCTTAGATTCCATCAGTAATCAAACAGTTTTTTGAGAAGACATTCACTGAATGGAAGAAATATTAATTGTCACCCAGATAATATTGATCGCTTCGCTATTCAATTTTTTCCATTCACTCAATATTAATGATGATAATAAATTAACCATTCAATGTGTTGAGAGCATGTCTTCATATCTTAACAGAAATCCGATATATATTGCCAATCATTGACTTAAAAATGCAGAGATGTAAAAAAAAAGTTTCCACCATCAGTTGAATAAGAGTGTTTCGCGGGTTTTTTGCACTACAAATTTGTCACGCAGAATATTCGCAATCCGTGTTAATACTTTTATGATAATTGCCGTCATATTTATCTGTAGTCTAGAGCACCTGAATTGTCGGCATATAACAATAAAACCCCGTTCTTGACTCCCATCGCAGATCCGAACTTGAGACACCGCGAGAAATGGCCGGATGTCAAGGAAATGCTGCGGCGCAGGGCGGGCAAGATGTGCCGGAAGGAGACGGTCACGAAGCGCGTGCCCGTGCTGGACTGGCTGCCCAAGTATAGACGCGAGTACGTCTTCCCGGACGTTGTGGCGGGTATCACAGTGGCGCTTACGGCCATTCCGCAGGGCATCGCGTACGCCGTGGTTGCTGGACTGGAGCCCCAACACGGCTTGTACTCCGAATTGGTGCCCAGCTTCGTGTACTGCGTCCTGGGCAGCTGCAAGGACATCACGATCGGACCCACAGCTATCATGGCGCTCCTTGTACAGTCGCACGTGCTTAAGAGTCCGGATTTTGCGCCCCTGGCGTGCTTCCTTACCGGCATCATCATCCTCGCGATGGCCATCCTCAACCTGGGCTTCCTGGTGCAGTTCATCTCCATTCCAGTCACCGTGGGCTTCTGCACGGCGGCCGCGCTCACGATAGCCAGCGCCCAGATCAAGTCTCTGCTGGGGCTTCCCGGGCGCGGAAATGAGTTCATCGAGAGCTGGAAAAGTGTGATAGAGAATATCCATGAAATTCAACTCTGGGACACAATCTTGGGCGTCAGCTCGATCATCCTTCTGCTCTCCCTCAAGGTGATTTTCCTCATTTCCCACCAATCTTTCTAGAGCACTCAATTGTTCCTCCTTTTGTACACAGAAAACGCAGAGCATCCCGAAGTGGAAGGTCTTCTTCAAGTACGTGTCCATCTCCCGAAATGCTATCATTGTGATACTGGGCACTCTGCTGGCCTTCCTCATGCAGCAATTCACAGGCAATGTGCCCTTCGCCCTCACTGGCTCCGTGGCAGCCGGATTCCCGCCCTTCGTGCCGCCACCTTTCACCACCACCGTCGGCAACAGCACGCTGAACTTCCAGGAAATGATCGCCGAGCTGGGCACTTCCATAATCTCCATTCCTGTGATCTCTGTCCTCGAGATTGTGGCGGTGGCCAAAGCTTTCTGTGAGTTTTCTACCTTGCAAAATCTTTCTTTTACACATTCAATGGAAAATTGTCTTTCACAGCCATGGGGAAAACCGTGGACGCCACGCAAGAGATGATCGCTCTGGGCTTCAGCAATGTGTTGGCATCCTTCGTAGCGTCAATTCCCTTGTCAGGCTCCTTCACGCGAAGCGCGCTCAACAACGCTTGCGGCGTCTGCACTACCGGTGGCGGAATCCTGACGGGAATCATCGTGCTTCTGGCCATCGGATTCCTCACCTCCACTTTCTACTACATCCCAAAAGCCTCCCTCGCGGCTGTGATAATGGTTGCCATGTACTTTATGATCGACTTTGCAGCTCTGAAGGAGATTTGGCGCACGCGAAGTGAGTTTTGCGCTCCGTCACGAAATTTCCTCACCTAATTCATTCGCTCTTCCCAGGAGTCGACTTCATTCCCTTCCTCATCACTCTGGTGGCGTGCTTGGCGCTGGGAGTGGATCTGGGAATTGTTATCGGCATCGCGAGCAATCTGGTGTTCATCATCTATGACACAGCGCGACCACGGATCCAGTTTAAGTGGCTCAAGGTGGATAACGATGAGATTCTCGTGGTGACACCGAATCAGAGCCTCATTTTCTCGTCGGCGGAGCACTTCAAGAACCGCCTCATGAAGAAAGTGATAGCGCAGAGCAATCCCAGCTTGCTTGTCGTCATCGACGGACACTTCGTCCAGAAGATAGACACCACGGCAGCGTCTGTGAGTAATTCCTCTTGCCACCCACTCGAGAACTCTTCCACGTAGTGGAATAGTACTTCAAGTGAGATTTTCACTCTCGAATCATCGTGTTTGTGATGAAATTTTCAAGTAATTTGTAGTTTATTACTATTGTTACGCTCATTTCGCTGTCTTATCGATAAGAGAACAATTTGATCCATCGAGATCAGCACAGACAGTTCATTTTGTACTCTTTGTCGCGCTTATCTAAATGATATTTCAAACCTACCGCAATACTAATCTCTGATAGACGGTAAATAACATTAAAAGAAAACGATTAGAGTGAATTGCTTGAGCTCTCTTTTTTCTTCTGATGCAATCAAGTGTTATTTAAGCGACAAAAACAACCCAGGGGAAAACCTCTGCAATTTAACCGGTTAGAGAGATGAATTCATTTGAATCCTCATTAGGGAAAAACCACTGCGCTTTGGGCACTTGACGCCTTTATTCACTATATATTCCTCATCATTTCCAGAACATCTACTCGGCCGTGCGCAGCCTGAAGGACGTGTGCAGAGGAATGATCTTCTGGAACTGGAGCGGACAGGCTCAGGGTGCCGCGTGGCGCCTCAACAGCGCCTTCGGGGCGCTGTTCCGCGATGCCAACAGCCTAGAAGAGTTACTTCGGGCGGTCAAATAGCCACTGTCGCGCGCCCACAATTCGCTACATATACATTATCCCCAAATTCACCACTGAAACCTTTGTATCTAACCTACTGTGAGAGTGAGAAGGCAAAAAATGGCACCTGAGTGTTGCTGATGTCTTGTGAGATGAGTATCAATTCTGCCGCGCGCGCGAATCCTTCTACAATTCACACTCGCCACTCGTGATCCTCTTGTGCAACTCGTACAGACTCGGGAACACGTGCCTCTCGTCGATCTCCTCGCCATACTTCGACTTCAGTTCCTTCGGATCGCGCTCATGGATCAGGGCGCCGCGCCAGCCGACGCCCTTCGCGCCCAGATAGTCATTGCGCGCCGTGTTGCCGATGTGCAGACACTCGTCCGGTTGCAGATTGTCGAACTTGGCCGCCTCCATCGCCTTGATGAAGATCTCCGGCTCGGGCTTGGCGCAGCCCGCCTCGTAGCTACCGATCACGAAGTCGAAGTACTGGAAGAGCTTCATGTTGCGCAACAGCGTCTCGAGGCGCAGGTCGAAGTTGGAGATGATGCCCATCTTGAACGGTTGTCCCTCGTTCTTGATGCGCGGCCCTGAAAGTGCCCAGAGTTACGATTAGCCCATTGTGAACTCTTGGATCGCATGCGTCATGATAGCCGGAGATTTTCGGCTGCGATAAGACGGAGAACACACACGGAAGTCGCGACTTTATCAGTGAGTGTTTTACGAGCAAAACATCGTAGGAATTTTACACGAAATTCGAGATTTAAGCGTTAATTGGAACGATGGGACAATCAGAGCACTTTGAGATTCAATTCAAATGTCTCGCTTTTCGTTCTTCTTCTCATTGAGGATAGAATAGAATAATTGCTCTTTGCAAAAATCTGGGTCTAAATCTCTAATTGATAACGCGAAAAATTTAGATCAAATCATTTCCTACTGTGAATAGAATATCCTTTATAATCAGAAGCTTTATTAGCATTCTAACAATCTTCTGAGCAAGATCAAGATCAAGAATGAGTTAATTTCAGAACACTTCTTGTCCTCCCTCGAGTGTTAACATTCAGTTGCTTATCTAATGACACAGTTCAATGGAAATTACAATTAAATTTCAATCCACGGTAAGTTGGAAACTTTTATCTAGTAATTTTGCTTATTATTTGAGTTATTTGTCAATGACTTTAATTAATGGTCAAGATTGTGGAAAAGCAGCCAAAAGTCTGGCTTAGAAATTGAATACAAACACTAAAATCAAGGTCTTTCACCTGATAAACAGACGAATATTTTTCCATGAATGAATAGAAGTTGAGAAAAATTAGCATTCAAATTGCGCTGTCTGAAAACAGCACGAGCTTTTCGTCATACGCACAATTTGTGAGAACAAAGATCGGCGGCAAAGGATGCACAAAGCTCACCTTTCGTGCCGATTTGCTGCTTGAGCTTTAGGTAATTTAGGAACTCCACCGAGCCGAAGCAGTGCTGCCAGGCTGTGCTGGTCTTGAACATGTCCACGACGTGGTCAGCGATCCGCAGAAGCTTCTCGTCCGACTCCTGAGCGCCAGTCTCGCGGAAAGAGCCTGCAAGACGACAAGACAGGGATGAGAAATCGCCGGGAAAACCGCAAAGAAACTCTCGTGTTTTGTGCCGCGTGTGAATTAAAAACTGTGTGGCGCATTTTTTCACACAAAGAAGAAAAAGGCGCACATTCTACACAGTTTTATAATGCTTCTCTTTGCCTATGGAATTCATTCATATTCATTTTGGATGGTTTTAGGAGAAGCACGGAAATAGATTGGTGGGAATGTTTATGGGCACACAAGCGCACACAGAATCGCGCCGAGAGTCTGAGACGGTGTGTTGAAGGACAAACTCACCGATTATCAACTGTCGCCACCAATTCTCCCAGCCTATGTTTGTCCTCAGGCCGAAATTCGGGTGAGCCTGGTTCATTCTGTGCCTGCAAAAAGGGCGGACGGATTCAGTGCGCCTCCGCAGCACGATTGATCAAGGAGCGAGAGAGTACTCACCAATTGGCTTTGTACTTGGCCGTGAGCTGCTTCTTGTCCGCGCCGCTGCCCAGGAGGCCCAGCATTTCGCCCACCTCGCCGAATTGCTTGCCCGGACTCGTGCGGAACTGCAGCAACGTGTCCGTGACATCGAAGGTGATAAGACGGAAGCGCGAAAGACTCATCTTTTCCAGGAGATTTCACTCTCACTCTGGCCACCAGCACAGTTGCACTGACGCAGTGTCGAGATGAACGCTGAGCGACTCGCGAGAATCAAGTGTATCGCACCAAATTTTCACAGCGACTGGCGCACCGAAATTGACGAGGCCACAAGATTAATTGTGGCTTTATCTACCATTTTTTCCCTTCTTTCTCTCCTCGCCAAAAAGAGCCGAGCGCCCGATAACGTTTTTGCCGTTTTGTTGTTCGCATGTGGCTGTTTATGTAAATTCCCTGTTTTCGCCCGTGTGTTTTTTCCTCGTCCAGCCGAAGACATCTCTCTCTCTATAATCTCTAATCATCAGCTTTAATGGGTGCATTTTGGTCACAAAATAAGGAAGTCACTCTCGAGACCGTGACATTTCCCACGGGGAAGTGTGTTTCCAAGGAAATCATCACTTGCTGACGCCGTCCGAGCGACTCGAGTGCTGCTCCAGCATCGCCAGCAGTGGATCCACGGGCTTGTTGCACTCCGGATCGAAGTCCGGCCCGACTGCCCACAGAGACTCCAAGTCGTACAGTTTGCGCGCCTCCGCCGAGAAGATGTGCACCGCAATGTTGCCCATGTCCATCGCTATCCAGTCTCTGGAGTTCTCTCCCTCGATTTTCGGGATCTGGTCGCCCGGCGAACGCTTCATCTTATACACTTTCCGTACAAACTCCGCCAGGCCCTTCATGTGCCGCGCACTGAGACCCGTGGTGAAGCAGAGGTAGTCCACGTACTTGAACTTTGGCGGCACCCGGACGACAAACACATCCTGACCCTTCTCGCGCCGCAGAAGTTCCACGAGATCTTCAATCTCAAACACCCCAGTTTTACCTCCTGCAAGCAAAAATCACTATTAGTACTGCATGACAAGCCCTCCTCGCACAATTACACACTCTCTAGATTTATTCCCTCGTAGGGATCTGGTCCGGTGATCTCTATTTCCTCCTCCTCTTCCTGAATCCTGGCGCGCTCCTCATCAACATCGAATATCTTTGTCGATTGACTCTCATCGAAGATCTGATAACGACGCGACACAGCACCTGGCAGGGCGTTCTGCACTTGCTTCCCCACCTCTTCGGGGACTTTTGGGCTGCAAAATCCTCGCTGGTGCCGGGTGAACCACACAAATCGGCAAAAGGAAACTCCACGGAAAACAGTCCGATACATGGCGCGATGTGAGGTTAAGTCGCCACCCACTAGTCGATGCCAGCGCTCGGCGCTCAAAGACGGCAATTTTTGCGCTTTCGTGCACTTCCGCGAGAGGTGCTGCGCGTCGTCGACTTCTCATGGAGCTTGACTTTTCGGGATACTTTTTATCCATTTATTGTGCGTTTTTCAGGCTGTGCGGGGTGAAAAATTATGCGAAAGAGTAGTTAAGTGGCCAGTGCGACAAGTGAACATAGTGGCAATATGACATCGACAAGTATTGAGGCGGAATACGCGGAAATCAACAAGAAGGAGAATGGATGGTACGCCGTGTTCCAGGTGTGTATCTCCGCCTCTAATCCCACTCACGCCCGTCACGCTGCACCTTTTGCGATGCTGCGCGACGCCGCCGGACTGCCCTGGGGCAGTGCGCCTCGTCCGGGGGCGTTCCGCTCGCCCGGGGCGCCGCGATGACGAATCGGCGAGCAATCTGCGACGCCAGAGCCCCAAGCGGCACCACGGCGAGTTGCGAGGCTGGAATTCCTTTCATCGGAATTCGCAGGGCTTCTCAGGGTGTTTGCCCTCCTTATGCCGCTCGCGGCTTTCCCAATGCCCACTCGCACTGATCGATTTCCCCGCTTTTCCGTGTCTTTTCCACAGTCAATCAAGGACAAATGTGAGCTCGAGGCCAAACAGAAACAATTCACACTGGACGAATCCAAGAGTATTTCCAATCGCAAGTACAACAGATACAGAGATGTGAATCCCTACGATCACTCCCGGATCGTCCTGCATCGCGGTGACACGGACTACATCAATGCCAATCTCGTGAAGGTGAGACAACAGTGGCTTCCAAAGACGCCGCAAAGTTCTTCTGCATCTCGTGTTTTAGGGAATGTTTAAATGATTAATTGAGGAATCCGCTTAATTATGGTAATTTTCCAGCAACGCGGAAAGTCGACAATCATTTATCGGAAGATCTTGAGCTCCATGCGATGCTTTTCAGTGTGTTTCGAATGGGATTTAAGCATGGAAATACTTTCCAATTCAACTCGTTCTAGTGATCAAAACATTGTTCACGAACTGAGGCATAATTGTGCCAAATGTTACATTCTTCCGCTATTCATTTGGACATTTGTTAATTTTCAACTCGTTCTTCTGAAAAATAGTGATTTTTACTTTTCATAGTATTTGATTCATCCGTCGATTGATGACTTAATCAATTTTAATGGAACAAATAAGTCACAAAACACGAAAGATTTCTTTTGCCACTATCTATGATCAAATTTATCTTTTCCCTAATATTATTATTTAATCCTGAGGGAAAATTAAGCTACTCTGGTCAATTTGTTGGCCAAAAGATGCAGCTTTTAGTTTAATACTTGGTGGTTTTCAACATATTCAGTGAGGCAAAGATTTTTTCCAGATATCACGTTGTTTGACAATTTGACTGTGATAATTAAATCTCCAGTGCAATTATCAATTGCGGAGTCGTTCACAGTTCGATATCTGATAAAATACTTGAGGAGAAGGCGAATAATTCTCCGAATTGTGGTTATCATTGATATAATATTTGCTGGTTTATCTACAAAAACTGCTGATTTATCTGACTCTTTATCATGAGAAACGGCAAATTTGTTGCTATACGACTGACAATGGTACACTTTGCAGATGGAGCGGGCGAACAGGAAGTACATCCTGACGCAAGGGCCGCTGCAGCAGACCGTGTCGCACTTCTGGCTGATGGTCTGGGAACAACAAAGCAAAGCAATACTAATGTTAAATAAGTTAATTGAGAAGAAGCAGGTAAGAAGGAGAATGAGTGCATCGTCATTCATTCAGGAGATTAACATCTTCTCTTCTCATTCTGATTTGTTTGGTAGATAAAATGCCATCTGTACTGGCCGGAGAAGATTGGCGAGGAGCATCGGATGAATCTGACGGACGTCGGACTCACGGTGGAGTATTTGAAGGTGGAGGAATTTGGCAATTTCTCCATTCGCACCTTAAGACTGACTGATACGGATTCAACGAAATCCCGCGAAATCCTACAATTTCACTATACATTGTGGCCGGATTTTGGCATTCCTGCTTCGCCGGTGGCCTTCTTGCAATTCCTCAAGAAGGTGCGCGAATCTGGCGCTCTTGATGACGAAGTTGGACCGCCTGTTGTTCACTGCAGTGCCGGAATTGGCCGTTCCGGGACTTTTTGCCTGGTTGACTGCTGTCTCGTGCTGGTGAGAGAGATTTGCAGACTTTTCTTGAATTCATTTTGTCTCCAAAACAGGGAATTTATGTTTTGTGTGGGTTTTGCAGATTGAGCGCGAAGGAGAGAACAAGGTGTCTGTGCAGGATGTGCTCCTGGAGCTCAGGCGCTTCCGCATGGGCCTCATTCAGACGGTGGATCAGCTGTATTTTTCGTATCAAGCAATTATCGAGGGCATCAAGCGCCTCAACAATCCGGTAAGTGGACAAGAGAGAGAGTGAGTGTTTGGCGGTGAGTTTGCTGATTTCTTTTCCGTTTCTCCTTTGTGGCAGAATGACGATGACTATGAAGAAGTGGCGATAATTAAGCCTGAGGAGGATGAGAGCATGGATTTGGCGCCGCCACCGCTGCCGCCGCCTCGTGTGGATTCACTGCAGGGCAAGCCGTTGCCGTCTGTGCCCGCCGGCGACGACGGCGCGCCGATGAATGGCAATGAGGAGGTGAATTTGCGCGATGAAAACGGCGTCGGGAGTGTCGATCGTCCACTGCCGCCGCTGCCGAGAGACAATTCGCTGGAGAAGGTGGACGAGAGTGACCACGATTCTGTGGAGGATGAGTTGGAGGATGAGGACGAGGAGGAGGACAATGAGGAGGCGAATGAGGATTTGACGGAGGAGAAGAACGGATTGGACAACAGCAATGATTCAGTGAAGTCTGACGAGAATATTGACAAGTAATTTTCCATCTTATACTCTCCATTTCGATTGGCAATTGATTAATGATGTTCTCTTTGTCTTTCTTTTCTCATTTGTGTTTGTTTCAGTAGTCAAGAGGAGGCTCAGGTGAGACGCAGGAAGCGCCAGGAGCGACAGGATGCCATGGCGGAGAAAGTGCGCGAAATCAAGCGGAAACAGAAAATGTGCGAAGAATCATCACCGAAAAAGCGCAGGTCACTTATGATTACTCTAGCTGCTGGTGTAATTCTTGGTGTAATTTGTGTCTATGCCTATGTTAAATTCACATGAATTCCTCCTGAATTGATCCCATTTTTCCCATATTCATCGCTTTTTCTTCCCCATCCCAAGAAAAAAGACATTTTTCTATTTCATCTATATTTTTTCGGATTTGTTTTCTCTCTGTAGCATTTTGCGCGCAAATTGTCCCTATAAAGAAAAACTCCCGATTTTCCCCCTGAAATGCCTAACAAAAAAAAATGATCAACAAGATGTGTAAACTTCCGTGTTAACATTTTAGAGAGACAACAAAGAGAGTGAGAGAGAAAAACCTAAAAGCAACCTCTTTCGTCCCACACCTTTTTGAATAATATAGGAGAACAAACAATATAACCCAATATATTTCATAGAACGATTGTGAGTAGGTGATTTTAGTAAGGCAACGATCTAACACGACTATTTTTGAGACACACACTTTCACTTTCTCGCGTACGATTGAGAGAGAGAGAGAGGCGATAGAGTGTCTTATAGCTGAAGAGAGCGCTGATAACACGAGTTTATGATAAAATTCCTCAACTGTGCGTTCACGCATGGGCTGAAAACTTCTCGTTTAATGCTTGTTGAACAGAAAATCCAATAATTCGAGCCTTGAAACTAGCAAATTCATTGATTCTGTTAATATTGCAGCAATTGGAATTGTGTTGAAACTCTGGCCCCGCCTACTTGTTTGCTCCGCCCCTTAATTCTGTTTCTATCACTTCTTGATCAGAAAGTTGTCTCGTCTTCAGCTTTAAGGCAATTCTATTGCAAATCCCCGGAAAACTGACGAATAAATGAGTGTGTAGAATAATTTGAAAATGTGGATGAATATAATCAAAACAAGTTTTGAATATTTTATATATAAGAAAGTATATATTTTAACTCGATAGATAAAATGATCCTATTTATACAAGAAGACACTACAAAAACAAAAGCATAAAGAAAAAGGAAACAGAGTTTATTACTAAAGGAGAGAAAAAAGAAAGAGAGAGAAATACAATGCGGTAAATTTAGTAGTGAATAACAACACAAAAGAGAAAAACCAATTAACAAAGTGAAGAGAGAAAAGGGGAGAAAAATTTAGAAACAGACTTTTTCTTAGTTGTTTTTTGGAAGTTTATCTTTTAAACAGAGTTAAGGTGACATAATATTGTGTATTGAATGTGGAGTAGCTTTTTGATATTATAAGAGAGAGAATGGAAAACACAATGGAAAAAAGTGGATAAACATGTGAATCGAGGGAAGGTTTGGAAGGATATTAGATTAGTTAGAGAGCCTAAAAAGAGAGAGAGAGAGAGAGAAAATAGGGTAGAAAAGTAAAGCAAAAAGAGACCGTAATAATTAGAAATGATAAATTTAGTGGATTTCTTTTCTACTTCACGCCAATTTTGTGATGTCTTTTCTCATATTATACATACATTTCGATATGAAATATTTAAAATAGATTTTTAGTGCATTTCTTTAACTGAGAGAATGTATATTTTTTGCATTTTTTCCCTGAAAGAGAGATGATAAATGATGAGAAGGAGAAGAAAATGTAGCATTAACAGAGATTAGCTTAAAAGAAAGAGTCTCTTTGTTTCTCTTCCACAATCTAACATACAAAGCCAGGTCTAGAGATTTTTCTTTGCAAAGAAAATTCACATATATATTTTTCTCTTTGATTTCGTCATTGAAAATAAATATCGTGCATACTTTTTACCTTTCTTCTTTCTGTCACAAATTTATTCACTGGTGCATCTTTGACTTCTTTCAGGACACACAGCAGTTCACAAAGCGAGAGGGGTAAATTGTGAGAGAGGGAGAGAAGAGGGAATGATGAGTGGGAGGAAGAGAGAGTTGTGTGAATTGATTGAATGGCGCACACTTTCCGGAAAAGAGAGCGAGATTTTAGCTTTTAGCAGAAGAATGAGAGTAAATATTTTTACCAATGTATTTTCCACGATTTGGTCAGGAGCATTTGTGAGATGAGATAAAACACGAATGGAGGAGGAGAAGGAGGACAAAAAACAATTGTATTTTGTTAGAGATTTTATCGATTTTATTCACAAAAGTTGGTTGAAAAAATTCTTTGTAAAGATAACTAATGTTTATTTTTAAGTTTATGCTCGTCAATTTGCAAAATTCCGCAGATGTAGCTGTCAAATGATTTTACTTCACATGGCTTTTACGTTCAATAATTAATCCAATACATTATCTCTGTATTTTTATTATTTTCTCATTCGCAAAACCATCGGTTATTGGTATAAATTGGAGAGTTTTTGCATTTGGCGCGCTGCGCAAATTCACCACAAAAATTTCCCCTCAATTCACTGTTGAGGGGATTCCGGGTAGACGTCTGGTCTGTCGATAGGTTTCCAAACAAGCTATTTTTCTCGTCGAAACGTTTGGCAGCAGAGGAAATCCCGGTTTTTCCTGAGAAAGAGCACATCCCGAGCATACAAGATGAAGCTAGTGAGGTAAGACAGTGGCCAGGAGTGCAGAGAATGGTTCTGAGTGGTGGAAATGCTGAAAAATCCAGGGATTTTTCGGTGTTTCGAGCGTAATGCGATTCCTAACCTCAAATGCTGTGGTGCTTCTTTTGCACAGATTCCTGATGAAATTGAGCCATGAGACGGTGACGATTGAGCTGAAGAACGGCACACAGGTCCACGGAACCATCACGGGCGTGGATGTGGCCATGAACACCCACCTGAAGGCCGTGAAGATGACCATAAAGAATCGTGACCCGGTGCAGCTGGACTCGCTGAGCATACGCGGAAACAACATCAGATACTACATCCTTCCGGACAGTCTGCCGCTGGAGACACTGCTGATCGACGACACACCCAAGTCCAAAGCCAAGAAGAAGGAGGCCGCCCGAGGCGGTACGCGCGGTCGGGGCCGCGGGGCGCGCGGCGGACGCGGAGGACCGCGCGGCAGAGGCGGGCGTGGTCGTGGGAGACGATAAAGCATTAAATCCAGCACTTACTGTATCGATACATTTTAATATCATCGCATCTCATGTCTTCTTGTACAGCCGCTTTTAATGGAATTCGAGTCGTTTTTCGTCTGTGGAATGTGCCGTTGTGACTTATGCACCGTAGAAGAGGACGTACATGGAGTAGCCGAAGAAGCAGAGGAAGACGAGAACGGAGATGAGAAGCATTGGCCGGCGATTCGCGCCTCGCATCTTCTGCAGCAGCTCCTGATTCTTCTCCAGCACCTTCTTGATGTACGTCAAGTCCTCTTGCGCCTGAACGCGCTCCTCGTCCGGCAGTTGTGGACTCTGAATCAGCTTCTCGAGGGCTTCTGTGCGATGCAGAAGATCAATTATTGTCTCCTCCGCCGCCCTGATCATGCACTCCTTCCGATTCTCCTGCAACTGCGAAATTGCGGTCAGTGAAAGTGGGTTGAGAGAAAGCTCTCGGCAATATTTTTTTCACCTTCATCTCAGCCATTGTAGAGTCTTTTTTCCTCGTCCTTTGCACACTATCACGTTAAATTCGGTTAAAAATCTACAATGAACACCATTTCTGGGACTTATCTCCTCTAAATACCTTCTTTTTCACACTAAATGTTTGTAAACAATTATCCCAAAAGTTGCTTCGTTCTTTTTCCGGAGCCGTCAAACATTCGTTCAGTTTGCGTGCCTAGAGATTCGACGAAGAGTGTTGAACGAAGGAATTTTTCGTCACACTCGAATTTGGCTGATGCAATCGTGGTAAAAGGCGTAAATTCTCGCGTAAAACACCCGTGAACGGTGCAAATAGTTGTATTTAGTGAAATTGAAGAAGGGACAAGTGTGAAAATGGCTGAGGAAGACTCGGTAAGTTGGAATTACTGAAGATATCGCGGATATTGCATGAGCATGGCAAATGTTAGGTTAAATCTCCCAGAGTGCACATTTTTCGATGCTCTTTCACCCTATGGCGCCCCAAGTGGACGCCCTTTAAGCACCGCGGGGGCTTTCTCGCGCCCAGGGCAGTCTTATCTGTAGATTTTGGTTGGTTTGAGGAGTGAAATGTGGTCATTGACCTCTTCCCACTCCAGCGGCGCCTCACACTCCCGAAAAACCTTGACGTGGATGGAATTTTGACTCCCGGACGTTCGATTGAGAGCCTTTCTCTTTCCCACAGATATTCGACACGTTCATGCAGAAGAAGAAGAAAAAGAAGAAGACCACGTTCGACTTGGAAGCCGCTCTGGCCGGCGATGGCTCAGAATCCGCCTCGGGAGCGACGACAGACACACCAAACGCCACGACTCAGGCAGACGAGGGCGACGCTGGTGATGATCAGGGTGAGACGATGAATTCAAGAGCGCTTTATTGATTGTTCACATTGAATTCTAAGCCTTGAATTCGTAAAGAATCCTTTTGATTGTCAAGAAACACGTTTTGGGCATAAAATTTGCACTGTGAATAATTAAGTAATGCAGCTAAACAGCCAAAGATAGTGAAGACTAAAGCCAAAATCAAAGAAGGAATCAAATTGAGAACTAAAGAAATTCACTAATTGGTATTCTTTGAATTCCTTCTAAATGGCTCAAATTTGCAAGTAAAAGACTTGAAGAAACTAGTTTTCGAAAGTGTCACAGTTAAATTTGCTGTTCATTCAACTTCTTTCGCGCCTGACAAGTGGAATAAAAACCTTTTTACCTCCAATTGATCTGATCAGGAAGAAAAGATGCTGTAAAACCAAATCGAATTCGTAACAGGCTTTAAAATCACTGATCCTCATTGATCTGCACTCTTTTTTTCTCACATTTTATTGCTTTATTCCTAATCTTCTGTCCTTTGTCGCACAGGAGGCGTGAAAGCCGCGCCAGCAGGACAGGAATCCTGGCAGCAATTCTCCGGTCAGGACGATGGCGCGGAGCAGGAGGAGGACTTCGATCTGGACATGGATTTCTCCATGAAGAAGAAGAAGAAAAAGACGAAGAAAAAGCTGGACGATCTCATGGTGGAGGAGGACGAGCGCGCGGATGATAAAGAAAATGGTAAGAAAGGAGGAGGAGAGTTTGGTGGGTGGATTAAGCACAATTCAATTGCCTTTACATGCCTTACCGATCTGGACGGGAGCATCTCTGAGAGTGGTAGAATGTCGATGGGCTAATTCTGTGCGGAGATTCTCACATTTCCTATCTTTCTCTCTCTCGACAGTTGAGGACGCCAACTCCTCGTGGGCCGGCTCTGATCGCGACTACACGTACGACGAGCTGCTGAAGCGGGTGTTCGAGATCATTCTGGACAAGAATCCCGAGATGGCGGCCGGGCGCAAGCCCAAGTTCGTGATGCGGCCGCCGCAGGTGCTGCGCGTGGGCACGAAGAAGACCAGCTTCGCCAACTTCATGGAGATCTGCAAGGTGCTGCACAGGCTGCCCAAGCACTTGCTGGACTACCTGCTGTCCGAGTTGGGCACGAGCGGCTCCGTGGACGGCAACAATCAGCTGATCATCAAGGGGCGCTTCCAGCCGAAGCAAATCGAGAATGTGCTGCGTCGCTACATCAAGGAGTACGTCACCTGTCACACCTGCAAGTCCCCCGACACCATCCTGCAGAAGGACACGCGCCTCTTCTTCCTGCAGTGCGAATCCTGCGGCTCGCGCTGCTCCGTCGCCAGCATAAAGTCCGGCTTCCAGGCCGTCACCAGCAAGAGAGCGGCGATCCGCGCCAAGACAGCATAGACACCTTCTTGTCCTGCCCAAAAAAACAATCTCCGAAAGACTTTCCGGCGGCAGTTTGGCGCTGTTTGACACACTCAAGAGATATAATTAAAATTGTGGGTGTTGCAGTGGCACACAAAATGCCTTTTATTGAACCTTCAGCGTCTGCTCTCATCAGCCCTCCGGATCTGCGCCATCGGGAGCGCCCAGTCCTAGTCAATTGGCCATGTAGATGAAGTTGAACCTGCAACGATCGAGAGCGATTAGGTGGCGAATTGTTGTCCTTCGGCGGCATTTACCTGCACAGCGCCTGCGGCAGTGACGAGATTATCGGTCCGTAGCCCTGCGAATTGTCGTACAGCTCAAAGAGCGGGGCTGCAACTAGCTTGTAGTTCTTCGGCACGGCAAACACGGCTGCGGGGGAGCAAATAAGAGCACAGAAAGCGTGATTAGAAGTCGTGCTGTGGCGACTCTTAAGCCCTAAAAGAAACTTATGACATAGTGAAAAAACACTCTGTGATTACAAAATTGAATGGATTTGAAAGAAGAAAAGATCATTGAATTCAACAAAAATCTCTCGATGTGATCAAAAACGACTTTTTGGCTGGTATTTTATTGCATATTTTGTAGGAAAAAGAAACAAAACAAATTGGGCGCTGTAAAAGGGAATTTTCGTTCACACAAAACTGACGAAAAACACCCTTTTTTCTGTCTTACAACATTCTCTTCACTTGCTCATTATTATTATTTTTTGGTTCTTCACATTGAGACAATTACATTGCTTATCACTCTTTTCTTGTTCTTGTTTTTATTATTGTAGATATTGTATTAAAAAATAGGTAGAAAGATGATTAAAGGGAAACTATCCTTAGGATTTATAGTGTTTTGTTTTTACAGAAATATTCTTTATCACTCTCTCGAGTAATGAATATATTTTCTTTCTCCCTTCAGTGAATTGAATAAAAGTAAAAGAAATCAGCTAAATTCTACTCAAGTCAAACAAGTTCACAGAAAAATGTGGAAATTGTGTTCAAAAATCTTGCCTTTGTTCTTTTTCGAAGGCGGAGCTTTTGAAGGGGCGGAGCTAAAAAATTACAGTCTTTTTGCCCAGAGAGACCCGTTTGACTGAAGTAAAAGGATTCCAAAGAAATCATGAATAAAATACAAGAGGAAGAAAATATATTGCTAACCTAACAATCTTTCTTCACATTGCGTTAGAAATGTCTCAGCAAAATTATGCTTTAAGTCCTTTAAGTTCCTCATTTCAGGCAATTAATTTTGACATAATTACGATGATTGATGAATTTCACTAATTTGCAGAATTTTTATGGTTTCTTTCTGTACTGGAAGAAATTCATTAATGAAATTTATCAATCAATCCATACAATTTCTCAGGTACAAAGTAATTTGCTCTTAAATCACATTCGACCTTAGAGATCTACTCTTTATCAATTTCTATCTCCTTCTAACTCTCTCTTTGTACAATTAATTCTACACAGTTAAACGTTATCACAGTTTAAATAGGAAAACAAAAAGGAAAATATCTTCTTCAACATCGATTTCAGACTCCAACTCTTTGTGGACTAAAGTGAATTCTTTTATGCTTCTGGCAAAAGTGGCAAAATTATAGTAAAAGTAATTACAATGTTCTTTGCACATTACCCTTTTCGTGGAGTTGCACGAGAAACAAACGTTTGTGTTCCTTGGGTTTGGTGATATGGGGCGGAATATATGGATACTGAGGCGGTTCGAAGTTTGGCCTCCACCAGTTGCCGATGGTGTCCTCCACGATCCACTCCTGCTTCACGCCATCCTGCCGGCCGAGTGTCTGTGGAAGCCTAACTCGTTATAGCACAGTTCTTCGCAATCTACAATTTCGCTGCTCTCTTTCTGTCTTCCTCAGCTAATCACATTAACAATTATCATCGAAATTCCTCTACAATCGTCAATTATTGGTTGTTACTTCGCTACGCACAACACAAACGGTGTGAGAGTTATAAATTTGATCGGATTTACATGTCTTCTTCACCCTCAGAATGCTCAAACACAAATTGTCATGACAAAAGGTGGGAAAGACGATGACTTTGCTGCTTCTCTCTGGAGATGGGACGGGAATATATCAATAACGCGCACACTTACTTCAGTGAGGAGTCTCTTGAGGCCGTCCACCTCGTCCTCGCCGGCGTTCAGCTCGCCGCCGGGCAGCTTGAAGAACGTCGTGCCCAACTGAAGCAGCAGAACGTGCGGCAATCCGTGCTCATGCACCAGCAAAACGCCCTCCACGGATCGCCTCATGCCGATGCGGTCGAACTCGTCGCGCATCCGCTGGAACCTGGCCGGCACCGAGGGGTCCTTCTCGAACAGCGGCTCCTTCGTGCCGAATGTGTAGTTGGTCAGGGGATATCTGCAAAGACCCGAGAGTTCAGTGTTGTTTACCCCAAAAATACTGCCGAATTGGCTGAAACACTCACAAATTAATGGTTCTGTTGATCGTAACAGATTGATTGAGAGCCAATTTCGGCTGCTGCGCCTCCGGAGTCGCCGGCTGTGCGGCGTTTCCCTGGCTATTCCTCCGCGGCCATCCAGTGCCGGTCTTCTGGTTTGGAGTCGCCGCCATTGTTGTCATTCTGGGAATCTCTTGTCTTTTTCACCCCCTCACACCCGCTTTAGCAATAATCCTCCACCGTCCGCGACTCAAGTACCCGCTGAATTTCACGATTTGATGCCCTTCTCGAGTCCACTGCTTGATTTTCACAGTGAGAAACGCCTGTGAAGAAGCTCACTCTTCGCACGCACACCGCACGCAAACAACAAACGTCCCGATTTGACGAAGAAAATGTCCTTCGTTCAGTCTTATCGCGCTCCCCCCGAGGCGGCGCTGTCAAGCAGTAGCCATTTTGTCTTTTTCGCAAAAGCCTTCAGACAAGTGTTTCGCAGATTTCGCTCAGAAAAGACCCCTAGAAGGCGCAAAAACCGAGTAAATCCAATTGAAAATGCTTTGCTGCACTGTGGTGTAAGAGAATATTTAGTTTTTTGTGGTGGTAAGTGACTTTATTTGACGAGAAAATTGGTTTTTCAATTGCGGGCACGCCGACAATGGTGCCAAAAGTTCAGCATCGTATTGTGTAATTGTTACAGCATTTGCGGCGCCCTGTAGTAGATTGAGGCGTTGAGAAGTGTGTTATATCTAAAAGAAAAGCATTTTACTCAATAAAGTCATCGCTGGTTCGTGAGAGAAATGCAAATTTGTGCTCTTCCAGCAGAGATTTGGTGAATTTTCCAGCTGCGCACTATTCATGAAAGTGTCATTTTGGGATCGATTCACGTCGTTTACGCCCACTTAAAGCGACCAGAAAGTGCTCTAATGATAAAAAACCGAGGAAACAGTGAGTTGGAAAGGGGATTAATGTAACAGATGTGCTTACAGAGGCTTTCCAGGGTTGCTAGGGATGAATGAGAAAATTGAATGGAAACATAACCTCAAATGATGATGATTTCTTTATGAATCACTTTTCCGGGAACTGTTTTGTGTGGCAAGAAAACCCACTCTTTTCTCACTCTTCACGGTGTTTTCATGCTACTGTCTTGTCTCAGAGCCTTCTGTTGCCACCAACAGTGGACTCCCGGACGCGAGGAGCGATGTAGAGTGTCTCGAAAGTGGTTTCCGGAGGCTCTGGAGATGCTGAAGCCTGCTCAGTCTCAGTGTTGTCTTCAATTGGCGAGGCGCTTGAGCTCGCCACCCTGTTCATCTCATTCTCTAGTGAATAGTGCTTAGAGTAGTGTTCTGAGAACTTCCTCCCTCGCGAGCGGGAAGCTCTGGCCGGCCTGGGAAGCGTGGGAGAGTTTCTCGAGAGAGTTGCGATGACAACTCCCGCCTGGTCGTCGGAGATGTCGGAGAAGAGCGCCCTGCGCGAGGAGGAAGGCGTTCCTGTGTCGTCCGGCAGCTGAGTTAGTAGCTCGAAGGGAACGTACGTGGGCATTCGAGCGCCCGGCGAGAAGTCTTCGAGGCGCATTCTGGGCCTCTTGTCGTCAGCATTGAGTCTCTCGCGTATCGGCGAGCCGCCGATGTCCGGCGCGAGGTTCCTGATGACCGTCACGGTCTTGATGTGAGTGCCGTTGGCTGTGGAGAAGTCCGTGGCGGCGTAGCTGTAGCTCAAGTCGCTGTACTGCGGCGCGCGGTGCTCTCTCGCGCCGCCGGCCGCGTCTCCATTCACGGCCACCGAGATTGAGGCACAGAGTTGAGGCAGGAGGAACAGGAGGATCAGAGGCTGATGAGAATAAGAGAAAGAGTTTCTGCAGAGGCGAGAAGAAGCGGGGAATTGATTTCCTTAATGCGTGTGTCGGAGCACAAAAGCGGACTTTCTATCGACACGAATGGATTCACCGATAATCCTGTGAAATCCTTAAGGAGTAGAAGCATTTGTGCGGGAACATTAATAAAGTGTGGGATTACTCACACTCTCGCCAATAGCGAGTCTCACGGTGTGTTTTTTTTCTCAAAAAACTCGCTGATATTCTTTCCCAATTTCCATCACTCTTACCATGATTTCTTATTGATTTCTTATTCCTTTCTTCACGCCGGATTATCCGGTTTGATGCACCGCACTTGAGGTGAGCGACTGAAAGTGACTCGGGACGGATTATTTCATTTTATACCGACGCCGGAGCTCAAAGATGACGGCAGAAGTGGCTGAAGAGAGTGAAGTAAAGTGGGCAATTGGTCGGGAAATGAGCTACAAGTGAGCTGAATGATGTATTTTCCAACCGTTCATCGACTTATTCGCATCACATCTGTGCAGGCTTCTTTTTTACCTCAATTATTCTTGTGAATTTCTCCTGAGAAAATCATTGTAGAATTTCACCCTCTTCTCTGGAATGCTTTCGATCCACACTTTTGCAGTGAAAGAGCTTCTGAAATCTGTCTAGAATTCACTGATCGCATGCGATAAAGAGTTCTAAGCACAAGGAATCTTTGACTTTCAGATGAAGACACTCAACTAGGGAAATTGTGAGAATATCTTGGAAAAAAGAGACAAATCAGGACCAAAGAAATCCTTTGTGAAATTACTTTCACACATTATCCAACAAAGTGTATTTTTTCTTTTTTAAAAGAACCAATTTCGACTGTTAAAGAACAGACTTTTCACTGATAAATGCTCTAATCAACAAAAAATGACTTTCAAATCGCGATTCCTTAGTTATTCTTGTAATTTCTTGGAGGGAAATTTTCGCACAGTTTTTCAAATTTCTTATTCAATGTATATGAAATGCTAATCGTTCATCTAGAATTCAAAAGGAATATTTCATTAGGACACTTGCTTTTTTCTTGTTGAAAAAATCAATAAAATCGCGTTGAGATTCGCTAATTTGTCTATTCAACACAAGTTTTTGGCTGGAAATGGTTTAAATTGATTAAAAGCGCGATTTGGCTTGCAAAATTTGAATGAATAAAACACAAAAAGCACGAAAATATTTCCAAAATTTATTCAGATTAATGTTTGTTAATATTCTTAAAATCAGCATGCGTTTTAGCTACACTTGAGAGAATATTCCTTTTAAAGAAAGACAATAATTTGATTAGATGCCCAAAGAAGTGACTTTGTGCATCTCAGCAGAGGTGAATTTTAAGAGAGAAATGCAGAATTTCGAGTTGTACGAGAATTTAAGAGAAGAGAAAGCACCAAAGTTGCCGAGTTCATATTGCATATTGGAATGTACATTTTAGAGCTGGAATTAAACTTGGCTGAGGGCGCGAATGCAATAGAAGTTCATTGTTGGCCCAAATCAAATACTGATTGAAGTTTCCTGAGGTTGGCCATAATGAACTGTGAATTCAGTACAAAGCAGTGAATTAACTGATTCTAGTTTTGAGTTTTGGATGCAGGTTTCGGTGTATTGAGATTGAAATAGAGAAGTTTTGTTTGTTTGAAATTGCAAAAGAATCTGTTGAGAGCAATGCTGCAGAATATATTTTGGGGAAAGAGGGATTTGTTAGATTGTAATAAACTTGAGTGTGTTGTATGTATTTTGCTTCTAGGGCGTTTTGAAGATATCGACGGGAGAAAAGAGACACAAATTGTAAAAAGAGAGAGAAGTAGGAAGAGAGAAAATGAGTGTGATAATTCGCCTGCAGAATTTGCCGTGGTCAGCGAACGCTTTGGACATTCGAGGCTTTTTCCGTGGTCTGTCGATCCTCGATGGCGGTGTTAACATCGTTGGTGGTGAAATGGGGGATGCTTTCATAGCCTTCAGGTAACTTAATATTAATATGTTTTACTGTAGACACAAACTCTGATAAATTTTGATAAGTTTAATATGCTCTGAACGTGTGAGATGAGATAAAGAGATGTTTGTGGTGAAAGGAGAGTTGATATGGTGGTGTAGAAAAACAAGAGTAGCGTGAAGATGTTGAACTTGCAACTACTTTGTGAGATTTTTATCGTGTGTTCACTCTTGTCGTGTCAATGGCAAGTTGTTAATCACTCGATAGAGAGTGATTGACCTATGAAATGTGCGAAAGTTGCAAAGAATTTTCCTTTTACCGTGAGAAGAGGGGAAAAGATAGCGAGAAAGAGTTGATAGAATTTTAGATGAAGATTGTATTCTCCTGTTTTTCTCCACTCTTTCCTGCCAATCTAGCTCGGATGAGGACGCGCGCCAGGCGATGATGATGGATGGGGGAAAGATTAAGGAGGTGGGCGTGCGTCTTTCCCTATCATCGCGTACAGAAATGCAGAAGGTGATTGAAGTTGCACGCCAATCAACTGCCGCTTTCGCTCCAATTGCCGCTGCTCCGGCGCCTGCTCCAATTGTGCCGGCAGCGGCGCCTCAAGTGGCGCCGCCGGTGGTGGAAACGCCGGCGATTGTGAGCGGAGCGTCTCTGGCGTCGCCGCTGTCGAATCTGTTGACACAGCAAATGCTGCAGCAGATGGCGAAGCAACAGGCGCAATTGGCGGCCGGGAAGACGCTTCTGGTGGGAGAGATTGCGCAGCAACTGAGTCCGATGCTGCAACAGCAGCAGCAGCAACAGCAACACTTTCCAATGATGCAGAATCAGCTGCATAAAGATCCGCGGCGATCAATGGAAATGGCGGAGATGGGAAATAAAGACATACACAGGCGATCTCTTGAGTCTGTGACGTCCAGTGATCGCGTGGAGGGCCAGGAGAGGGAGAAGGAGAGAGATCGTCGTGGGAGGGATCGCCGATCGCGATCTCGTGAGCGGAGGCGATCGCGATCGAGGGAGAGGAGCAGCAGGAGGAGAAAGGAGAGAAGTCGTTCGCGCGAAAGACGCGGTGATCGGCGACGGCGCAGGACGAATTCGCGGGAGGATCATGAGAGGTCGAGCAAGGAGCGCGACAGAAGGGATCGCCACAGGGATGACGCGAAGCCTGGTGGGGCTGTCTTCACGGCGGCACCGCAAATCTGGGATATTCCACCCAATATCCCCAATGCGTCACAGACAATGATCAGTCCTTCGGTGGTGCCGGAGGTGAAGGTCAACCAGAAGAGATCACTGAGTCCTGAAGAGAGGGCGAATTTGATGAAACTGAACGACAAGAGGGACTCAAGTGCCTTTCAGGGCAATTCGTGGAAGGGTAGGAATTCCGGTGGCGACAAAGAAGGCGGTCGATGCGTGAAGATTTATGGAATGGATCCAATTACGGGCTATGGAGAGATCAGGCGATTCTTCTACGGGCTGTCAATCAACACAGATGGCATAAAGATGATCAATGACAGGCATGGGAAGCGCGTCGGCATGGCGTATATTGAATTTATGCGATCGGAGACACGCAGTGTGGCACTGGCGCGCAATGGGATGATGCTGAAGGATCGCAAGGTGCGCATTAGTGAGATAACGCAAGAGGAGTTTGATAAGGAGGTGGACTCTTTCAGGCCCACCTTCAGCAGAAATTCGCACGCGGACAGAGTGTTCCAGGAGTTGGATGAGATGCAGAATGACAGCAATAAGGCGACACGATGTCTCAGAGTGTCCAATTTGCCGTCACATGCAACGCAGCAGGATGTCATTAAGATGTACTCTAACTTTTCGCTGGATGAAATTGTGATGCTGCAGGAGAGTCCCAGGATTTACACGGCCTACGTGAGATTCTTCCGCATGGACGACACACGGTTGGCCTACAATTTACCCGCGGGACACTTTCACTTCCGCAATCTGGAGATTAGTCTGTGCGATGAGGACAAATTCCACAGGATCTTGATGAAACATGGTGTTGGGCAGAATTCAGTGGACGACGAGAGGAGTCAAGAGTCGGTGGATGATGTGAATCTCAATGATTCGCGGGAGAGTGATGCGCTGTATGTGGTTGAGGATGAGAGGAGCAATGAGGTGTACGAAGTGCAGGACGACGAAGCGTTGTGTGAGAATGACGTGTCGATGGACATTGTGTCGCAGGATAGCAATGAGGAGTGCTCAAGTGCATTCAGGCGGCAGGAAGATCCTCGTCTCCTGAGAACGTCGGACAATATTCAGTCGACATTCTTCAACCAAAGCTCTCTCGATCCGCGTCTCAATCGATCGTCGGCAGCGTCTGAGAGTCGCGACCCGCGCTTGAGCATGTCGAAGAAGCGTAGCGATTGCGTGGTGATGTCAAATCTGGAACCAAAGATCACTGATCGCGATGTTGTGGATTTCTTCTCGGACATTGGGCTCATTCCGCTGCGAGTGCACATTTTGCTGAACACCATGGGAAGTCCGTCCGGGGATTGCTTCGTGGAGTTCTCCAGCACAGACGATGCCGACAAGGCGCTGACGAAGAACAAGCAGCACTTGGGGAACAATGAGATGACGGTGGAGTTGATTGCGCGCGATAAAGTGGATGAGATTCTCAATTCCTTCGACGAGTCGTCGCCGCCATTCGAGGCGGAGTTGGCGGACGAGATGCCGCCGCAGATGTTCCCGATGCGCGGCGCCTTTGGCATGCAGCCGCCGATGATGCGAATGCGAGGACCTTTTCCGCCTCGCATGCCAATGGGTCCGAATGGTGGGCCCCCCTTGGGACCTTTCGCGCGGCCGCCGTTCGGCATGCGGATGAATGGCAACGGCGGCGGACCGGCGATGATGGGCATGATTGTGCCGCGCAGCGTCGTGAACATCGAGAACTTGCCGTATCGCGCCAAGTGCGATGACATCCTGGAGTTCTTTGGGGACTTTGAGCTGACGCCAGCGGACATCATCAGGCGGTTCAACGACAAGGGCCAGCCGACGGGCGATGCCAGGGTGAGATTCAGGACGCCTGGCGAGGCCATGAGGGCGGTGGATACGCGGAATCAGAAGAGAATCATGGGACGGCCGGTGTATCTGAAAGTGCTGGACAATTGAGGCGCTGCCGAGTGAGTGATTTACGAGGGGTGGCGGGAGAGAATTGATAGTGAAATACGAGCGCGCTGTATTTGTGTTTTAGCAAAAAGAAAAAGCGCGCGCAGAAGAAGGATTTTGTACATTGTAGAAAAATGACTGCAGAGTAATTGATTGTAACATTACTTGAAATTCATCAAGTTCACAAATGATGGTTCACAAGTTTTTCAAGAGATGCTGAAAGCGGAGAGTGTAGATAATAAATTCAACTTTGTAATTATGTCATGTTGCACTTGGAAGTCCAACGAGAAGAAAACACACAGAACGAGAGAGAGAGAGAGAGAAATTCCAAGAAAGTCAGATGAAGTGAGATTTAAGTTATTCTTAATTCCGGGAGTCTTGGCTTAAATTAATTGACTGTGGAAGGGTGGGATGAGAGAGAGAGAGTTGGTCATGTGTGCATCTGCCACCAGTTGGAAATTCGTCGGGAGAGAGAGAAAGAACAGAGTGCGGATGATGTATTTGCACATGAGTCAGCTTGAGACGACATTGCGGTTGGCCAGGAGCTGCAAACTCAATTCCTCCGTACCAAGATCCAGGCGATGGGATTACCAAGGGAGGCCACTTGAGAGTCCGACTGCTGAAGATTTATTCCTGCCCAATTGAATGTAAGTTTGCTGCACGTCATGCGATTATCATAGGGTTGAGTCCTTGTGTGATTAACTTCCTTTTCTCCCTCTCTCACGCCACAGTGACACCGCGAGCGGTTCGGCGAGTGTCCTGTGTGAGAAACAGCAAGTGCCACAGCCAGAAGAATTGTGTAGTTGCGCCGTCGTCTGCCAGATGCACTTCATATCATTTTCAATTTTCACAGATGAGAGAACTTTAAGAGGATGAAACATTTTCACATGTCTCGTGAAGAGGTAAGCCAGGCAACAATTCTCTCTATGTTTCGTCACTTGCCTTAGCCATTGTCGTATCGAAAACAGTACAGATAGGGAAGATTTTCTTCACTCTTTCCCTAAGATTGGCGAGTTTATTAGCATTTACGCTATCTGCAAAGGGATTTTGTTACATTTGTTCTCATAAAATACTGAAAAAATCCTACTAAAGGACTTTCTAGGCTTTACATGACTTTTGAAACTCATTTTAAGTGTAAGAAACACTGAATTAAGTACGATTTTCATAGTTTTTAACATAGAGTATTCGACTAATTGTGTTATTTCTGTAAGAATTCTTTTATTTCTTCCATTTCTTCATAAGATTTTTCTCATGTTTTGATAAAGCTTTTCTTCTTGAACTAAAAACTGAATAAAGAAGAGACACAAAAAGCTCTTCAACTGGTGATTTTTAGCAGAAGAGATGAAAAGTCAAATCTGAACTGCAGAAAAAATTGTGCAGATTAGTGCAATTGCTAATAAAAGCGACGCTGTTATCCTTTGTATTTCTTTCTTTCCCCCCAAATGACATACAAATCTCTCAATTTTTCCCACGGAAAAATTCGTGGACGAAGAGAGAAAATGCGGAGTAAAGCTCCTCAATTACATGAGTGTATTACTCTGTATTTTGTACATATTCCCTTATGTTTCGTTGCACACTCAAAATTGGGGGCATTTATGTGTGTTTCTCGCAGCGACTTGAAATGTAAATTTTCTCCTCAGAAAGAAAAGGGAAAAAGGATAAGTGGGATTTTAGTGTGAAATAAAATGTTCCAATTGAAGCATTATTCTTATATGGAGAGTGTTAATTGTGTGTATTTTATTCACGGTGGAAAATGACGTCCTTTGAGATGGCATTTCGCTGAGCGCATATGAATACATAATGCATTATATTGTGCATATTGAGCAGCTCGACAGTCGCTCTGATGGTAACAATATTCTCAGGAAATGTGACACTGTTCTGTGCGCTTGACACACTCTTCGGGGACTTGTCTGTCGATGGAAAGCATACGAAATCGGGACAAGAGACAGTCTTTCCAATAGTTGGATAGACAGTGAAAAGTTAATTGGAAATTTAGATGTGACGAAAGTCATGTTTTTCTTTCTGCGACAAGCGGTCCATTTGGAGGCACTTTAAATTAAATTTCACTTGTCAGATTTCTGCGAAAGAGTAAATTATACTGTTGCAAGTTCGTAGGATATTTTATATGTTATAAAGTCTAGAGAGAATGAGCATTTCCTTTCTTATTAATAGTGGGGAAAAGTTTGACTTCGCCTTTTCTCTTTGAATACGAAGGAGAGAGAGAGAGAAAATGCCTTCGAGAAAGTCGCGGCACTTTTGCCATAACATTCTCTACTTTCGTAAACTTGTGCCTCTAATTACCAAAAATGTTGGATTATTTCACTTCATAAATTGTTATGATGGACAATTTTCACAGTGAAGAATATCAGATGAATTTGTTTACGCTTGGCAAAATGTGAGGATAGAGTTGGAATGTGACAATTTACGAAGTCTCTCTCTGTAGGATCTTGTTAGGGAAATTTAATAATGCTAAAACTACGCTAAACTCGAACATGTAAATAATTGTACATCATTTAATTTCCACGTCAGATTGCGGAGTGATTGTCTTGAGTGGCTCATCAAGTTTGCGAATATCATCGCTGGCCTTTTTCTATAACTTCACGAAATAACATCGCATGTGAATGTGATAATTTGCTGCTGTCTCTGGAGTTTCGGGGAGTGTTTCAATGGGGATGGAGTGCATATCTCGTGTGCACCAGCATTCCCTCTTCTAATTTACTTTGGAAAGTTACACACGAGGTGATATTCGAGATGCAATTCCATCTGATTCTTCCAGCGTATCGTTTGCTCTGTGTGACCGAGCATTTATCAATGAATAATGGCGCTTGGCTTTGTGCAGAAGTCAAACTACACAATGTTCAATACTGCCCGGACAAATACAGTCAATTGGCAGCAAATCTCTATGGATGGGGTGGAAATAATTGAATCATGCAATGCAAATTTGTTATTACAATTTCGGTTCTCCATGACTCTCTCACTCTCTCAACACGTCCAAATCACTGACTTTTCCGAGACAAATTGCAAAGGGAAAATGCCATGGCGAGAGCCTGTGTGATATCATCTCATTTGCCAACTGCAATGCATTTGATTGATCACCTTTAATTAATTTCAATTGAATTATATTTTGAGGTGATGTTGGGTGGAAATAATGGGCACAGAATATTTCGCTACATTTGCCATACAAATGCCAGAGGTTGAAGATTTTTTACTGCAAATTTTCCACTCGGCTGCGATAATTAAATTTCCCGTCAGCAAAGAGGATTAACCTGTAGTTAGTGATTTTCCATTCGGATGAGGACTGCTTCTCATATCGATTTATTTACTCACACTTTTTTCATCCGTCAGATTTATTGTGCCAACATACGCATAGACAAGAGATGATGATGAGTTTCAGTGGGAAAGAAATAGTTGTATTTATTTCATTTATTTGTGGCATTTAATTTTACATAGTTAGTCACTTCTTCGGTTCTTCTTCGTTAGATAAAATTAACAAAATTGTGGTTGTTTAAGTTGTTAATATAATAACACTGTACAGAATATTTCATTTTGGTAAATCTTAAGTTTAGGAGTATTCTCTTAAAATTCTGATGGTTAACTTTAAAAAAGTACACTTTGAAAACATTTCTCCAAGCATTTTTCAGTTCATTCTTCAAAAAATTTATCAACCACATCAGAAATTAGAGCTGCGCATGGAATTTATTCATCGTGACTGTATTGAAGCTGTAATTGTTTAATTAATGCCCTTTTGAAGGAGATTTCAACAGAAAATTCCCGGTGAGCTGTAACATTTTCCTTCCAAACAAGAATCCTATCTAGAAATGGTCTCGAGGTCCATCTCTGGAGCACGGGAAAACTTTTGTGTTATCCCTCGGTAATGAAATTTGGTGGGATATGTGAATTTTTCCGCCCGGAATATGCACAGGGGGAGTGAAAGTTTTCATCATGAGCGCCCAATTGGGCTACAGTTGACTCTTTTTCGTCCGCTGCAAGAGGAGTGAAGTGCGGCTTTATGTTACACAGGGCAATATTGGAGGTCTCCAACTGGCGCATAAATCAAGGCAGACGCCATCGATAAAGTGCAAATTGAATCCAGCTCTGTTTGCTCCACTTTTGCGCGCGTGTGATTTTTTTGTCTCGATATTTACGACGTCTGAGAATGTTTTTTTCCGTGAGGGAAATGTGGTCAGTATTTCTTGCTTTAATCAGATATTAAATTCCTGGACAAAGGAAGTTCATGAGAACGATGCTACTTCAATCTCTGCACAATTTTAGTTTGGGATTTATGACGAGAGGCATTTGAGAGAGAAAGCAATTTCTTCATGTGAAGCGATACAAGCAAGCTTCTTTGCTGCATAACTCGTGGCATGCCAACGTTTTGAGGGGGCAGAGAAAAAGGATGAAATAACATATTTGGATGGTTGGAAAAAATACTCCAACACGCCGCAATGGAAACTATGTTAGGTGGAAAACGTCTGTGAGATTAACAGAAAATATTTCGGGCATGTTATTATTTTCTCATGCCTCTTATCCTCTCAGCATTTTCATGGAATGTCTTCGGGATTCCTTCAGTGAATTTGGTGATTTGCAAAATAAAAACATCTCTTTGAGAATTCCTCCTGATTCACCGTCAATTGCAGAGACTTTTTGCGACAGTTTTTCTCTTCTCGTGCCGGATAAAAACCTCTCGACAAATCAAATCAAATTTCATTTGAGCAATGCGAAACAGACGAGGGCAAATACAGCGAAAATAGCGAGGTGAACATGGGAAATAATGAATAAAAGCCCTGCTGACGATCTTTCAAAATGAACGCGCGGCGAGAATTATTATTTAAATTTTTGGAGTACAATTTAAATGGTAATTTGAGCGGGAACATCTGGAAAATGGAATTTTCATCTGTGAGAAAATGAATTCCAATTTCATATTCAATCCAAAATAGATTGTATTTAATAAGGTCACAATGTGTGAATGTAGGAATTATTTTTCATTCTGTTTAGCGCGTAAATTGTCTAGTTTTCTGCATAAATTGAAGAATTTTGCGATAATTCAGGAAGATTACATAGAAAAGTGCCACAGAAATAATTGCGCCGAGGAAAATCATATAAGATTTCTCTGAAGTTTCACTTTGAGCGCAATCCTCGATTCTGTTTACACAGTTCGGATCATCGTCATACGTTGGACAAAGTAATTCATGGATTGAATAGATAAGATTTTTGTATTCACTTGGCAACAATTTGTGAAGAATCTGCTTGAAGATTGATTGGTATTTTCGCGCGTATGCGAGAGGCGCAAGAATCCACAATACAGTTTGCTGTTTGATGTCAAATCCTCCAAAACACGTGTGCAGAAGAACCAAATCGTACTTAAGCAGTGTTATTTGGACGGGAATTTCAACCATTCGGCAATTGACTCGCTGTTTCAGCATGAAAGAACTGTTTCCTTCTTCCAGCACGGGAAATTCTTCGCACTTTTCCTGAACTGTCGTTTTAAAAACAGTGAAGATTAGTTGAATAGATTTTCTCTGTGATTCTTCGAATCTAACGCGCAAACACTTGAGATCTTCAGTCGAATTGGTGTAAAAACGGGAGGAATTCGCGGGAAGTCCTGAGAATTTCGTCCTTGCGAACAAGTAATACAACTGCTTGGGAATATCGTCGAATTTGTACTGCTCAGTGATGCACAAGCTTGGACATTGTCCATTTTGCAAAGATTCGGCAAAGGCGAGATTTTGCACAAGCGACAAAAGCAGAAATATCCCCAAAGTCATCTCAAGTTCGCCTTTGCACAGTAACTGCCTCATCAAACGACGATTCGTGGATTTATATTCGATGGATTGCGACATCCGCTTTCTTTCTAATAGTCTTCGTCATTAAGAACACCTGCGACGGCACATTGACCGGATTA